TTTCCACACTTGGCTGGGAGATGTGAGGATTACTAAACAGATATAAAGCACATCTTACCTGTTGTTCTTGGGGGGGGGGGGTGCGTGCACATGAGCATGTACATGCACGTGCCCAAGTACTAAGTAGAGTCAGCCTGTAGAGGAGCCAGGCGGGATTCCAAACCTTCCTCTGTCCTTTGTTGGTTATGTGACCATGTGGAAGTCACTAAACCTTGTAGCTGTCTTGTCCAAGCAGAAAAAATTGTATTACCTGCCACCTACACTGAGATTGTTTCAGTTGACAAGGTCTGTGCTTGTACTTTGCATAAAGGTCTCTTTTAACACTCACACTAACTCCCATAGGTAGGTACTTATTATTATGCAAACTGAGAATCAAATTAGTTTTTCCAAAGTCATATAACTAATAAGTTGTAGTTCAAATCCAGGTATATCTGACTCTAGAGTCCATCTTTTAACTATTCTACTTTATCAGTGTGATAAATTTAAAGGTTCTTTATAAATTCCAAAGCATCTCATAGGTACTAGTTTTATTCTAGTAACAGACTCAAATGAATAAACAAGGCTGGCTGGATCAAAGAGTTTATGTAGGAGGTACTGGGAAGAAAATTATTTATTTGGTATCCAACTTCTCTTAAAGAATCCTACAAGGGCCAGGGATTTAGCTCAGTGGTTCCGCCACCTGCCTCGCCAGCACAAGGGCCCAAGTTCAATCCCTGGTACAAAAAAAAAAGAATTCTACAAATCAGAATAACATAAATCCACACAATAATTATTGATATTCATAATTTATGTTCAACTCAGTTTATATTCATTATCAGAACTATAGTTAGTTATATTCATTCAAGATATGCCTTGAGGAAAACCGGTAATTTTCTAAAATGCCATTTTCTGAATCAAAGAAAGATTGTTAAAGATAATTATCAGTGTTAGGATGTGAGGTGATTTAAATGCAGGACTCTTCAGTTGGCCCTGGACCTGACTCGTTACCCGCCGTGTGAACATTCCACTAGAATTAAGGTGCAGATAGAATTCTTGGAAGCCTGAACTTGGTGTCACATCTGGAGAAAGACACAATAACCAGGGCCCTGAACCACTGCCACAACATGAGGTGTGAAGCCAGGCGTGCTGATGCACACCTGTTACCCTCGTGCTCCAGAAGCTGAGCAGGAGGGTCGCACGTGCAAGGACAGCCTGCAAAGGCATCAATGAGACCTGGCCTTTAAAACCTACCAACAGCAAAGACAGGGCCTGGTCCACCACCAAGACAGCTGCTAACTGAAATATGACATCAGTAAGTCTGTGAGTTCAATAACCAAAACCTGTGGGAACAAAATGTTTCCTGGGGGCCAGAATATTAGAGGAGGGTTTGGGAGAGGGGATACTCACTGAAAAGAAAAGATGATTTAAATAATTGTATCGTCTCCCAATCTTTGTCACCATAAATGCTATTGTTCTTTTCATTTCACTTTACACTTAAAAAGGCTTTCTCGGTTTCTGCAAAGCCTTAATAATTATCGTTTAAATGCTAATATTCTACCAATGGTGTAGCATTATTTGTGGCCATTTTCCTATTTCTGGTACCTGTTTTCCAATACTATTCATAGCTCTGTAATGAATATCTTTATGCATAACGTTTTTGTATTCTAATAACTTTTATGTTTTGCTAATAGTTAACATTTGTTGAACATTTCTAGTTTGATTGGCACCAAGCTACACCCATTATGAACATGGCTTTAATTAAACATTACAATATGGGCCAGGGATTTAGCTCAGTGGTTTCGCTGCCTGCTGCACAAGCGCAAGGACCCGAGTTCGATCCCTGGTACCAAAAAAAAAAAATTACAATAATGGGGTACTTTTATTTCATTTTACAAAGGAAGATACAGCCTCAGGAAAGTAAGTAACCTGCCCTGCTAGCAAGCATACATGTAAGACTTAAAGCCAAAGGTGATGCCCATTCATTCATTCAACAAAATTGTTGTTGTTGTTTTTCTTCTTGATTTTTGGCTTTTGTTTTGTTTTTGTCAGGTGCTTAGGTTTTTTGTTTGTTTGTTTTGGTACTGGGGATTGAACTTGGGACCTTGCACTTACAGGGCAGGCGGCAGCACCACTGAGCTAAATCCCCGGCCCCATGTGCTTGCTATATACCAGTCGCTACTAGGCAGTGAACCAAATTGAGTGTTAGCTCTGCCCTCTTGGACCTTACCATCTAGAAGAGGCAGAAAGGCAATTGAAAGGGATAAAAGTAAGATGTACAGTAGTTTTGCTGTATGATAGGGGATGTATGGTAAACATTAAGAAAAAATAAAGAAGAGGCTGAAGTTTGGGCTGGTCAGGGAAGCCCCCATGATGTCAGGAGACACTTGGACAAAGACCCCAAGGTGGTGAAAGAAAAGACCTTGCAGTGGCAGGGTGCCGAGCCCAAAGGCCACAAACACAGAGATTGACGTGGCTGAGGTGCGTGAGGTGGGGAAGCAGGGCTAGGGTTAGGGGAAGGAGAGGGGCCCCTGGAATCACGGAGAACACTACATACGGACAGGAGCTTGCATTTTATCTGTTCTTACCCAACAGAGCACAGTGCTTCTGAGTAATCCTGTTGAACTCATTTCCAAGAATAGGACTTCAAAATAAAAAGGATGTGAACAGCTTAATGGCTGTTAACTCCCAGGCTGTTTGTGAACCTAATTGAATTTAGGTCATAGGGTCCCTCATTTGCATAGACTCTTCCGAGGCTCCACGCAACATTTTTGTACTCATGATTTTATATCTTTTTACTGTTACTAAGTGTTTGTTGTCTTGGTAAATTCTGCAGTTGTAAGTTACATCATAATACATGGGGATTAATGAAAAGCCAGTGGTGCATTTTTGTCATAATTCACTAAAAACACATGGAGGAATGCAGAAAAGAAGCTATGGCCAAATTGTCCATACTCAGCAGTGAGGGGTCAAGTGGAACAATGGTCTTCCCCCATGGAAAGACACTGTTTACTTCAGGGAGAAGCTGGCTTGAGGTTTGGCGGAAGACGCCTATTCAGAGGACATGAGAGTGGAGTTCAGTGTGTTATTCGGCAAGTCGGTTTTCCCAGTGTCTCTCAGCATTCTCTCAAGTCTGCTGCAAGATGATCTTGGCATCGATAAAGAACGTGGAATCAGCTTTGTGACACAGTACTGGAAGAAAGGCGAGAGGTCTCCATGCAACCATCATCTTCATAATCACTTCAGTAATAGCACTGTTCTTTACAAGGGGTGAGAAACCCGAAGTCTTGGGGGTAGTTCTTCACCTCCCGTATGGAGGTGCCCATCTTCTGGGAAACCTTTCAGAGTGATTTATGGTCCAAATCAGAACGGCTTCAGTTAAGATACAGCACGATTGCTGTTCCCCAACCCTGGAACACACTTTTCCCAGAGGAGTGATACTCAGCCCTATCAGACCAAATGCCCTCTTTTAAAAATAAATAGTTGCTATACCAAAATGCAAAGCACAAGTTATGAACAATAATTCCAGTGAAATAAATGCAATGTAATTGTCGTATAAATGAGAAATACAGGAAAATTAATTTATACTATAAAATGTATTTTAATATGATATAGGCACAACATTAGCATTTTCATTACATTAGCAGATGTAATGAAAGAGTCTGGTGTTTGCAATTATAGAGTCACAGTGAATAAAGAGGTTCAAAAGCAAATGGATACTTGAGTGTTGTATTCATGACTTGTGCCAAAACATATTAAAAGATACTAAACTGTAATGGTTTATATCTAGATGTCCACCAAAGCCTCATGCGCTCTGGGGAGGGGATTGGGTCATGAAGGTGTGACACTCCTCAGTGAATTAGTCCACCAGTGAGTTCATAGCTAAATGTGGTGCTGGGAGGAAGTGGGTCACTGAGGGCATGAGGTGAAACAGTGTATCTTTTTGCCTCCTCCTTTGATCACTAGGTTCCTCCCACCACCATGCTGTGGCCTGGACAAATATAAGGGACAGAAAGCGGGCTGCTGATGCTGCTTGCTGCCTTCTGCCCACCATGAACTGGGTCTCCTCTGTGACCCCCCTCTGCCTTGGAGCCAGCTGGCTATGGACTGAAAGCTCTACAAACTGTGAGCCAAAATATACCTTTCCTCCTTTAATTTGTGGGTGTCAGGTGTGTGTCTCAGTGATGTGAAAGTAACTGAGACATAAACTTTTCTTATAATATGAGAAATGCATATCAAGCCGGGCATTGTGGGGCACGCCTATAATCCTAGCACTCAGAAGGTGGAGGCAGGAGGATGGCCCAAATCTTGAGGCCAAGTTAGGCTACATAGCTCAAGGACAGTCTGAACTACATAGTGAGACCCTGTCTCAAAAAACCAAACCAGGGCTGGGGATTTAGCTCAGTGGTTCCGGCACCTGCCTTGCAAGTGCAAGGTCCTGAGTTCGATCCCTAGTACCAAACAAACATATCGAGATGCTATTTCTCAACTATCAGACTAGTGAAAAATAGTACAGCCCCTAGGTGGAGAATTTTTAACAATAGAAGCAACATACATTACTTTTTAACCCAGACAACATTGCTTTTAGTACTTTACCCTGAAGTTAAACCTATAACAGTATAAAACATTGTCCAAAAAGTCAGATACAAGGCTATTTAATGTTGCAGTATATGTAATTTGCAACATACTGGAAAGCATCTAAATGACCATGTTTAGGTGCATGTCTGTAATACCAGCACTCTGGGTGGTTGGGAGGGCTGAGGCACAAACTGCAAATTCCAGCCCAGCCTTGGGAACTCAGTGGCTTACCCCAACCTGTCTTAAGATTTTTAAAAAGAGCCGGGGATTTAGCTCAGTGGTTTTGCTGCCTGCCTCGAAAGCACAAGGTCCTTGATCCCCGGTACCAAAAAATAAAATAAAAAAGGGGCTGAGGATATAGCCTAATGCAAAGGCTCTGGGTTCAATCCCCAGTAGTGCAAAAACAAACAAATAATAAATAAAATGAAATAAAATTTTTTAAAAGGGCTGGGAGTATAGCCCTGCAATAGAGCACTTGCCCAGCATGCCTGAGGCCCTGGGTTCAATTTCTAGTAGAGGGCAGAGGGAAGGCAAGATGTTAGAATGTAACCTTAGTGTCATGAGTAATAGCGCAGTTTACCTGAAAATGAAGCCTTAGGCTTAAGAGGAAAATGAGTAATTTGAGATGGTTTAGTGAATGTTGGATTGCAGCCACTTTTAGTCATGGAATATTATTGCTGTCCATGTAGACACAATGTGCAAGTGTGCGTATGCTTAACTGCCAAGGCATTTGAGCCAGAAATGCGACATCTGTCACATTTGTTGGAAGCCAAACCAAGTAGGCATTTAGAGAGCACTGAGAGAATTTTGTATTTTGTACATGCTGTCAGAAGCAACAGGGGGAAATGCATTAGGAAGAGGAAGTGTACATACTAATCAGTCAAAATAGTGCATGCCCGAAGTGGCTGCAGGGTTCCTCAGCATAGGCACTGCTGCTTGGGCTGGTTTGCTCTTTGCTTGCCAGAGGCTGTCTCATGCGTTCCCGGGCCACCATGTGATGAGCAGCATTCTGGGGCCACCATAGCACCCCTGGCCCAGTTGCAACAACTGAAAATGTCTTCAGACATTGCCAGATGTCCCCTGCGGGGCGACATCTCTCCTGCTTGTGAACCACAAAGACATGTGATGCTTATTCACTCCCCTTCTTCTTTTGAAACTACTTATAAATCCCAGTACACACGCACACACATGCACACCCACGTACATCTAGACCTACCTCCAGGACAGCCCCTAGTCAAAAGAAGATATTTTATCCCTGTGTATACGCCCTCCAAGTGTGCCCCTGGGATTTTCTGCTATCACCTGTGGTCAACAGTTACATGTGTAGTCACTAATAAAACATATTTCTCAGGATTCCTGCACTTGTGCGGTTCCTTCCTACATCGAGTCTGGTTTTGACCGTGTGACTTCTTCAGCCATCGAGACACTAGCATGGTAAACAGCAGAGGTGTGATAAACACGCACACTTTCAGGCATGTCCCCCAGCAGGGACAGCGAACCTTTTGGAGCTCTCAGTGATAACAAACAGCCCACTGCAGTGCATGTGCCGCAGGTTCGCCACCCTGTCCTACAGTAACATTCCTTTCTTAGACACTGGCATTGTGTGAGAAGCTCAGGCCAGAGCACAAAGGTTAGAGCCACTGGAGAGGCACTGGCCAATGTGAAGCCACAGTGGATATTCTGACCCAGCTGAGCTACAGCTAAACAAGCCTGAGAAATTCGGCTGCACTGTGTGGAGCAGAGCTGCTCAGCTGAGCCCCATTAACGCACAGACCTGTGAGAGACAGGAGATCACTGATGTGCGAAGCCAGTGTTCTGAGTTAGTTTATTACAGCAGAGACAACTGAAGCCCTATCAAACGTCAGAGCTGAGGACAGGGAGTAAGCAGCACAGCTGGAGCTGGCTCATTCCAGCTCCCAAGAGCCAAATGCTAATTTTCAGGGATTTTCTGCAAAGTTTGACAAGAATTAAACACAGCTGCTATTAAAAATTAAATTACAGGGCCAGGGATTTAGCTCAGTGGTTCTGCCGCCTGCCTCAAAAGTGCAAGGTCCTGAGTTCAATCCCTGGTACCAAAAAAAAAAGAATTACATTACATAAAACTTGCATTAAAAGAAGTTATAAAGGGTAGTAAATGCTTCTAATTATTGTTCTACATTTTACTATTCATTATGTTTTTGGGGTTATTGGTATCTATTGCATCTGTACAGTACACACATTATATGATGGTGTCCTTTTGCTCAACTCAATCCAGTGCTTCATTCAGTGATGTCACATTGATAACTGGAAATTGGCCACGGTAGAAGTGTTTACACCACAGAAATCACCAAATGATACCCACAGGGGTGTCCAGGCTCGTGTCTAGGCAAACCCCCAAAGCCTCTTTCAGTCCTAGGGGAGCTTTTCAGAGATGACTGGAACTAGGGTGTGTAAACTGGGGTTAAGTGTGTGATGCTGGGATTTAGGGTGTGTGATTCCTAATTAGTTCACTGATTGGCTTGGCATAGCTCTGGGTCAGATTAAGGCTGCCCCATCTTGGGTGTGAGTGCTACCCCCCCCAAGGATAAGATATAAGGGACAGAGAGGGTCATTGCTTGTTGCTTGCTGCTTGTTGCTTGTTGCTTTGCTTCTTTTACCATCTTGCTGCCTTCTGCCTACCATGGACTGTTTCTCCTTTTCGATGTGCCACTCTGCCTTCCAGCCAGCCAACTATGGAGTGAATCCTCTACCAACTGTGAGCTAAATACAGGACATAGAAATCCTTTAACTTTGGGTGTTGGATATTTTGTCTCAGCAATGAGGAAAGTGAGTAAGCATGGGCTCTTCTTGGCCCCAAGAGCCAGTTGTTAAACATGCACAGCCCAGCCCTGCTGCTCTCCTGGAAGTTGGATTAAGAAGCGCTTCAGTGACAGCCAGCACTGAAGACTTCCAGTTGCCAGGCACTGTTCTGAACTCTGCACAGCTCTGAGGTTGGCACTATCATTATCCTGGTTTTATAGATGAAGCGATCAATACACAGAGAAGTCCAGTATTTTGCCCAACAGTAGAGTAATTGTGAGCAGTAGGGTCAAAGAATGCAGGCATTTTGGGCCTCGTGCCTTTGCGTATATTACCCAAACCATTCCTCAGGGTACAAGATCTGACAAGGGCAATCGTACTGACAGGAAAAACCGAGCAGAAAATCTGAAAGAGGAGCTCTGTGTTCACAATACCCATGAGCCAGAGGTTTCTATTTAATGCAAAATCAGATCAGAGCCTTTATAGGATTCAAAAACAAAAAGCAAGCAAGACTAAAGAATAAACCACAATAAAGTGACAAGCAGCTAACACACACCTGGCCCAGAGGCCCAGTCCATTTTGGGCCCACTGCCCCACCCCCACACATTCATACAGCTTTCCGCAGGTTAGGCAGGTGGCCCAGTGCCAGGCCTCGAGTTCACTAGCAGAGCAGCTTCTAAGACTGATAGGTTAATCCAACAGCCTATTGTGCACCCCTGAGCATACCTGTCCTTCCTTCCTTCCTTCCATTTTTGGCCGTGCTGTGGACTGAACCCAGGGCCTTCACAATGACCTTCTACATCCCCACCCCTTTAATTTTTTTTTTTTTTTAATTTTGGGACAGGGTCTCATTGGGTCTTATCTTTCTTTCCTCACCGAGATACTTCAGTATTCCTCAAATGCACTAAAACAATAAAAACAACAATACTCTGGAAAGGTGGTTTTTACTGCTGCAGAAGGCCACACAGATGAGACAGACAGAAGAGCCAGCTGTGATGTGCCAAAGTTTGCCGAGAAGGAGCCTGCGAGATGGTGAGTTCTTCCTGAGCATTGTGTGGCTCAGTGGGCTCTCTTCACTGCTGTGTGTGTGCTGGGGGAAGGATGCTATGCTGTCCTGGAATACTTTACTGGGCAATAAATGCTTTGCTCAGGCAGTTTGTTTTCCTCCTTCACAGTAATCAGAAGCATTTTACTCATGGTTTCCTGGCACCCGTCATGCTGTCACAGAGTCCGTAACAGTCACGAGAGCCTGAGAGCCAAGGTTAATTGTGCAGTGCTGTGGGAGGCATTCCCGACTCCAGGCTCCACAGCCCTCTGACCAGGGAGCTCTTTGGGACAGGCCAGTACCTCCAGAGGAGAATGAGGAAAGTTTAATCTTGATCTTTCACATCTTCCTGAGCTGGCTTATGACAGTGCCTGCAGTAACACAATTAGACATTAATTTCTCTGACATGCAGGTTGCAAATAGTTTTTTAAGACCCAACTGCCAAGAATTCAGGGATTATGAAGTTATGCTTTCACCATGAAATGGAATAATGTGCGGTTGTAGGCAAGGTCCAAGTAGCTCCATATGGAGCTGGCTTCTCAGGTCTGCTTTAGATGGGATTGAGGTTGATAACCCCCCACCCTCTTCCTCTGCGGCTGTGGAGGTGCTGTAGATACGAAATTACAGACATGGCCCGTCCTGTCAGGGAGTAGAGCTTGGCCCTCTCATCTCCCCTCTGTTTCTGGAGAAGGCCTTCTAGAAGAGCTCATCCATGTCAGCTCATTTCTCATAGCAGGTGGCCATGAACTTGCCACCTGTCAGATCAGCATCACATCTCCTCCTCTCCTGATATTGTGCTATTTCAGCTGTAGGCACCAAATCTTTCTGAGTATACATGAAACGCTGCCTCCGGTTGCTTTCATGTATGTTTTATGAGAACACCTAGACATGAATATTTATTTGAGCAGCTTGGAACTCATCCCTTTGATTTCTCCTGTTCTGATTCACATTAGAGGGCCAGGAGGTGGCCTGCGTTACAGTTCCCCTGCACTGGCTTCTGCCTTTCCTGCCTCTCAACAAGGTCAACTAACTGAGCCTTCTGGGAAGTGGGAGATGTTGCCTGGGTTTGCATCAGTTAGCAGCATGACACATGCTGGTGAAGCAGAATTGTTTCAGCTTTCCTACGCGATATGTCGATGCACCCTTGTCATCCCACTGTTGCTTTTCTGGATTCTTCTACAGTGAGTGGCCTGGCCAACTCTTGTCACTTTTTGTCTCAATTGAGACAGCAGCTCCTCCCTCTGTCATTCTGCCTCAAGCCTCAAATTCTTTTTAATCCCCACAATAGCCAGAGGGGTGAGTGGGGGGGGGGAAGGAGTTTCCCTAGAGCATTTCAGGGTAAAATCCATACTTCATAGAGGGGCAGACTGGGTCCTTTTATACCTGGACTTTTGCTACCTTTTTCTCTTATCCTCTTTCCATTCACCCACACAGCAATAATCGTCTGTTATTGCTAGTTTTCAAAGCAGTTTGCATGCACCTAGCATGGCTCCTCCTGCATCCTGTGCTTGTACTGCACAGAGGCCCAATTCTGGAAGGCACTGTGTTGCTGACAGCCCCTTCCTTCTTAGAGATGCTGTTTGCTCTCTTCCCTTCTCCTCTACCTCTCTAACTCATCCTATTCCTGCCTCTAGCCCAGGCTCAGGCATCACTATCTCCTAGAGCCTTCCTCACTCCTTTTCGCTCCAGTTCCCTCTGCTTTAGAAATAAAAGGCAGCATTCTCACTCAGGCAACCAGAGTACAGGAAAAGCAGAAGACCGGATGAGCTTTGGGGTCATTAGAACAGGGACACGGAGGTTGCCAGGATGTCCTCCTCCCATCACTTTCCCTGCTTCTCACTCTCATTGTCACGCAGATTACAGCTCTTCTGGCAGCTGGCAGCTCCCAGGTGTAGCTACCAGAGAAGGACTAAGACTTGCTCTCTGGTTTCACACTTCAAATCCCGAAGAAGGTTCTGATTGGCTCAGCTGAGTCTTGCCCCATTCCTGGACCAATCAGAAGCTCAGACTTGGTCTCTGAAGGCCTCTGGGGAAGGCAATGAAGTTCAGGGGATGGGGTGGAGGGTTTGTGAGGGAAACAGTGCTGGGCAGGCAAAACCAGCCAGATGGACAGTCTTCCCCTTCTCCAGCCTTGGTTCTTTTGTGGTTTGTTATTTTTAAAAGTGCTCTCAGCAGGGGCTGGGGATTTAGCTCAGTGGCACCGCGCCTGCTTCGCAAGAGCAAGGACCTCAGTTCGATCCCCAGTACCAAAAAAACAAACAAACAAACAAAAAAACCTCTCAATGTTAGATTCTCTCTGATTATCTTTTAATCCTTATAGTATTCAAATAAGCCCTTTTCCACAAGGGGCTCAAACAGAATTCCAAGAGATTTTTTTTTTTTAATCTCAGGCTAGTGATAAATCGTTTCTTCTGTAGGCATCAGGTCATAGGAAGAATTATAGACACACCACCAGGCCCAGAGAAGAGAGGCATAGACCAGGCAGGCTGAGATAAGAGAACCAGCTCCGTCTACATTTGAGTCTTAGCTTAGTAGCTATACAACTTTGGGCAAGTTAGAACCACTCAGTGTACTCACTAGTAAAATGGGGACAAGATTACTGTATTAGGTAGGATCCTGCTTTTTATAAAGACTCATGACCAATACCCTTGTAACAAAAGGCAGGCTGGCAAGAGAAAAGCATGACAAATTTATTAACATGCAAATGTATGCATACATAGGAGCCATATAGAATGTGATAACTGAAAAGGAAGAGCCAGGTGGTTGAAGCTTAAATAGGGAAAAAAAGTAATGCAAGGAGCAACAGCAAGTTCTGGAAAGGAGAGGGGAGAACCGAACAGTAAACACAGTATCTTATTTTGCAGATGAAGTCTCCCAGATATTCTCTGGGAACTGCCCTCAAAAGAAAAGATGGAAAGCCTGTTTGAATATTGGTAACAACTCAGGAGTATAGAGGATCAAACCAAGAGCCTCAAGCATGCTAGGTAAGCCTCCACCAATGAGCTAACTCTCAGCCTGTGGTGATAGCCTTTAGTCTCTTTCTTCTCTTATCAAGTGGTTAAACCTTCCTGGTTTACAGTATTTTTTTAGTTCTTTTATTGGTACATTTTAGGTATACAATTCATTTACATTTTACATTTATCATTGGGTGTTTGTACCTGTACATGATATATCTTGGTTCTTTTTTTTTTTTTTTTTTTTTTTTGCGGTTTACAGTATTAATGAGATTTCCAGGACGGACTGTAAGATAATTGTATTTCTTCTGGAAGAAATCTTCTCAGGTCGAGAACCTCAGGGAGCCCCTCCTGTGCTTAGGGGAGAAACAAAGAAGGTTAGAGACCTGGATTCTGAGATGGTATTTCAACTCAACGCGCCAAAATGTCATGCTTTGTGGCATTATTTTCCGAGCCTCAATAAATACTTTCTACTGCAGGGACAAGAAAGCTTCAAAGCTAATCCTTTCTGTGCAGGCAGCCTTCGCCACCTCAATCCTTCCAGGCCCTGCTTAAATGTCACCGCCTGTTCACATCTCTGTCTCTTTCCTAGAGAATTAACTGCTCTCTTCTCTGAAATTCACCATACCTACTCGTACAATGACCATATAGTGCTGTACCCAAGCATCTATTTCTCCCTATACCTCCCCTTCATCTTAAGCTGTGAGCTGTCCAAGGATGTGGAGCCCTGCAGCCACAGGTCCCAGACAGGGTCTGACAAATAGCATACAAAATGTTGAGTGAATGAGCAGCTGGTAACAGGGTCAGGGGAGAAGGAGAGGCCAAGACGTGGCCTGCGTGAATAAGTGACGGCTCATCCAGTTACAGCAGTAAGGGTTCGGCACAACATATACGGCCACTTATAAACGCTAAGGCTCCCAGGAGCACTCATGAGGCCAGTGTTTGGGGAGGCAGTGGGCTGAGCAGCTGTCTTCAAATTGCGGCATCAAAGTTGGTGTATTTGGGGAGCACAGAGTACTGCAGAAGAATGAAAAGATAGGTATCAGGATTTTCTTTTATTTAGAAAAGTCGAAATGAAGCAACATGTCCTATGTGTGTTGGAAGAAACCCCAGAAGAAAAGGGAAATAAGAGGGGGCTCCTCTCCTACAAAACAGGGATACCATTCAGAAGTTCCAAACTTAGCATTGCTCATTTCATCAGTGATTATAGTGAAATGCATCCATGTTTTGTGTGTATCAGGAGGAAAGCTTGTATGTAGACAGGAATCATATCTGGTTGTGGCTTTGGTTTAAATAATAGCTCAAATAGTCGATAAACATGTTTGGAGTGTTTAAGTGCCTGGCACTGTGCCACATGCTAGGAGGTACAAAGCGAATAAATTCCTGCACACAAGGAATATATTTTGTCCTCCTTCTTTTTTTTTTTTTTTTTGTTACTGGGGATCAAACTCAAGTCCTTGCGCTTGCAAAGCAAGTGGCGGAGCCACTGACCTGAATCCTCAGCCCTTTTGTCCTCTTTTACATGGCAGGCTCTATGCTCAGTTCTGAGGCACTCTTTGCCTTCCCAGAGTTAACACTCCTGTTGCAGGCAACATTAGTGAATCACACTGTTAGTGAGTTTGTGACAGGGACAGAAAAGAGATTAAGTTCCATGAGTCTGTACTCTTTCCAACATTTTAAGGAGTAAGGATTCTAGCTTCTGGGTCAGGTCCTAGGGTCAATTTGATTGTGCAATTACTGTTAATGGAGAAAACAACTTGAAGAAGCAGAAAGACAAAGTTGCACTAAATAACAAAGAAATAAGAGATACTAAGCCTGGCCTCCAAGGAAGGTTTTAGAGAAGAAGAGGAAGCCAGGCATGGTGGTGTTTGCCTGTAATCCCAGCACTCTGGGAGGCTAAGGAAGGGGATCACAAATTCAAGCCCAGCATGGGTAATTTAGCAACTTAGTGAGAATCTGGCCCAAAATAAAAAGGGGAGATGTAGCTCAGTTTGAAGTTCCTGGGTTCAAAAAAAAAAGAGGAAGAGAAAGAGGGAGAGAAGAGGGAGAGTATTTTAGATACTGAGAAAAAATGATGGTGTTGGAGTTATTAAATCTGTTCACCAAATGTCTTAGTTTTCTCCCCCTTCCAAACACCTAGTAGACATTAGAGATTGCATAAATTGTCCATATTTTCCACTCCTCTCTGGAACTTCTTTAATGTTCTCCTGTAGTGAGTGGGGGGTACAATAATCTACCCTGGGCTCAGCAAGGTAACTCGTTGGGCCACTAGAAGGAGGTGAAAGTGATGACATGCCAGCTGCAAGCCTGTAGATGTTGCATGACTGTCTTCTGCTCATTGTTCTGCCATAAGAACAGGCCTTGCCTAGCCTTTGGGAGGACTAGAGCTGTTTGGAACTGAGCTGAGTTTCCCAATTGCCGGAGATGAGGCCAGCTTAGAAAGCAGACAGCTGCTGACCCCTAGACATGTGAGTCCAGCCACAATCAGCAGAGCCACCTGGCTGATCCCAGCTACATGAGCACTAAAGGCTTATTGCTGAATGCCACAGAGGTTTGGTGGTTGTTTTTTTCACAGCATTATTGCAACTACACATAACTAATTCAGTAGACTCGAACCTCTTAGCCCTAGGATAGGACCTAGTTCTGGTAGTGAGAGCAAAAGTAACAGTGCCATTTGGGGGCTGGAGCATTTAATTGCTGGCTTGAAATTCTCTAGAACTCTCTTTTCCCCTAGTATATCAACAAAAATCTTTGGAGTAGTGGCCACTCCATTATCCTAGGTCCCCGAGGACTAAAATGAGCTAAACATCCAGCCACAGGGAGTTGTTTTGAGCCCCTGAGACTTTGGACTTGTTAGTTATTATAGCATAACAGGTTAGACTGACCGGATTAGGTGGGGTGGGAATTTTAGAAATTTGTGAAAGGTTATTAATTGCTCCCTCTGATGCTTTTGGAGAGATTGCAGTAAATACTTAAATTGCATTTTCAAATTGTGCTTTTGGTTAGTGTGCTATTTTAATTTGTTTGCCAGCCTACTGACTGGTCTAAGTTTTGGAGAAGTTATAAAATCACCTTCCAAATATCTTGTAAGTTTTCCCAAATAGAAAAGGTGCTCAGATGTTGGGCAATCCAAATATCAATTCAGCTCCAACAAATTGGAAAAATTTCTTCTCTCTCCAGATCTATTTTATCCCAGCAAAAGGAAGCCATCCTTTTTGTAGTGGGTGAAAGGGCAAGAAGACAGACAGGACTTTTTTTTTTTTTGGTACCAGGGATTGAACTTGGGACCTTGCACTTGTGAGGCAGGCACCGTAACCACTGAGCTAAATCCCTGGCCCAGGCCTTTGCAAATCAACAACTGAAAACTCTTTAGCTACCTAGAACTTCCCAACCCTCCAAGAATGTATCTGAAATACACATAAAGAAGAAAACAAAGGAAGAAATCTTTATGACCTTATTTTATACTTACAGGATTGGTGGCAATGTAAAATGACACAATTACTTTAAAGCATTTCATAGTTTCTTAAAAAGTTAAACCTATAGCTACCACATATGACCCAACTATTCCACTCCAGGACTTCACCAAAGAGAAATGAAAGCATACATTCATATCAAGACTTATATGGGAATTTTCATAGTAGCTTCATACGGAAAACCCAAAAGCTGGAAACACCAATGTTTATCAACAGGTGAATGAATGAACAAATTATGATATGTCAATACTATGAAATACTACTCAGCCATAAAAAGAATGAACTAGTATCCCAACAACACAATTGAACCTCAAAACAATCATCTCAAATTTATGCTAGCTGAAAGAAACTGGGAGTTAGTGTGTGTGTGTGTGTGTGTGTGTGTGTTTGTATGTGTGTGTGATAGACAAAGAGAGAAAGAGAGAGATCTATCAACTCATTTATGTAAATTTCTAGAAAACAGTAACTTACCTAAGGGGTGGGAAACAGATCAGCAGTTGTCGGGTCGAGATAGGAACAATTACAGAGACACCCAAGGAAATGAGCTTTCGGGGCTGTAGCCGATTCATTCAGCACCGGCTGTTGATGACATTATTGATTTTCTGGACTGTGATTAGTGGAGTGGACACCATAAAACAGGCGCCTCTTGTCAGATTACGTAACTGATGGACTAATCATAAGGGTGGTGAAAAGGTCAAGAAGAATTATTCATCTATAAGGCTATTTCCCAGAGCCTGAAAGTTCTAGGAAAGGAACATTTCAATTCTCCATGTGCTTGGCTCCTTGCTTCTCTTTCTGTATAACTCCTTAGTCCTTCAACCAAGTTTAGACCGGAATGGAGGGACCACAGGACTGAATGACTTTTGCTACGTCTGGTGATAGACCAAAACTTTTTGAGGTCCTTAGAGTACATAATTCCCGCGCTACATCTGCAGAAAACTACGATTCCCAGGAGGCTTTGGGTCCGGGGGACGGACCTCGGAAAGGGGCGGGGTCTAGAAAAGGGTCCTGGGCCGATTGCATTGCCCCCAAGCGGAGGGGCCCCCTGGGCGGAGCTTGGGCAGAATCCACCTTCCTATTGGTTGTAAACAGAAAGGGGCGTGGCGCGCAGTCGGGGCCGTCAGGTGGTATGGGTGGTGCTGCGGCCGGTGCTCGAATTTCCCGGGTCCGGCGCGCGGGGCCTGCTGGGAAGGCGTCCGACGGTTACTCGCTGGGCCACGCCGGTGACGAGGGGACTTGGACATGCAGAGCACGGACCTGGGCAGTAAGGAGAGTGGCAAGATATGGCACCGCAAGCCCTCGCCGGCCACTCGGAACGGGTAAAGACCGTCGCGAAGGCGCGGGCTGAGACGCCGAGCGGCGGTCGGGTTCGTGCTGGTCTCGCCCGGGGTGGGGCCGCGGTGGCCCGGACGCCGCGCTCCGAAGGCCCTGGTTCGGGTCGCGGGGCGGGAGCTCCGGGCTGAGGCCGCAGCCTCGGATGCGCGCCCGCCCGGCCGAGGGGTCCAGGGTCGCGAGGGCGGTGCTGGCGCCGGGTGCGCGCTCGGGAGGCTCCGCCATCGCCGCGGCAGCGAATCCGGAGGGGCTGCGGCAAGGAGAGCTACGTTCCGGCCTCGGATTCGTGCGCCTTTACAGCGCACCTGCGTTCAGCAGCCCTGTGCCGAGTGCCTGCTAGGTGTCAGGACCCCTGTGAGCGTGGTGCTGAGAGGCAGGCAGGTTTTGTTGAAGTGTTGGTTTATTAGCTCTGTGACCGTGGCCCTGTTAATCACTGTAAATGGGGACAATTAGGCTTACTAGACACATTTTTCGTTCTAAGTGCTCAGTAAATACTTGATGTTCTCTTTATGTTTAAGTACCGAGGAAATTCTGTCAGGCTGCCTGTAAGCAATTGAAAAGAAATTGCTCCAAAATGCTTGTGTGTGATTTATGTGAAAAATCAGGGACAAAATGTAGCTATTAATTGCTATTACATCTATATGGTAGAATTATAACCACGTTTGTCTTCTATTATTGTTAAGTATTTTCCATATTTTGAACAATGCTCATCTAATTTTGTCATCAGAACGTGTAATGTTACAGAAAAAGAAAACTGGAGGGGAAAGGCATTTGCTTTCTTAGTTACCAGGAAAAGTTTTGATGTCATTTCAGAACATTAGTTTTTGTATTTTTAAATCCCCGAGGCCCACATAGAAGTAAGCAGTATAAAGTGCAGTAATTTAGTAATCCTGGAATTTAGGAAGCTAAGATAGGAGAACTGAGAGTTTGAGGCCAGCCTGGGCAAGTTACTGAGACCCTGGCTCAGAATAAAAAATAAACTAGACTGGAGAGTAACTCAGTGGTACCCTGTGTTTAATCCAGAGTGCCAAAACAAAAAGCAGTGTCTTAGTTACTTTTCCCATTGCTGAGACAAAATACCCGACTCCCAAAGTTAAAGGAGGAAAGGTGTATTTGGCTCACAGTTTGTAGAGGTTTCAGTCCATAGTCAGCTGGCTCCAAGGCAGAGGGGGGTCACAGAGGAGACCCAGTTCATGGTGGGCAGAAGGCAGCAAGCAGCATCAGCAGCCCGCTTTCTGTCCCTTATATTTGTCCAGGCCACCCACCCTTAGAGCCGGTAGCACTCACACCCAAGGTGGGCCTTCTCATTATCCACTCTTAGAACTATGCCAAACCAGTCAGTGGACTAACCTAGTAATCACAGATCCTCAATCCCAGCACCACACTCTAGATCCAGCCACCTCTGAAAATCCCCACCTATGACTGCATGAGGCCTTGGGGGGACATCTAGACACAGCCATAGCAAGCAATATAAGAATTTTGCCATTTCCCTTAATGAGTCTAAAAAGCTGTATGTTTAGGTAAACATGAAGAAAATGTTTAGTCCATTTATTTTAATTTAGAGAAATTAAATTTCTCTTTAATGAGAAATATAGATGTTTCTAAGTATTAAAATTTAGAAATTCAGAAAAATTAGCTAAGAAAATTTTCATGATTAAAAACATTACCAGAAAGAACAAGATTCTTTGGCCTTCAGAAGCAGAACATACACACATGTATTATTTTAAGGAGTTGTTTCATGCCACAAGTTTTGTACAGTTCCCTTTCACTTTCAGCAGATATATGGCACGATATCCTCTTCTTAGAAAAAAATAGTAACTTCAGACAAATATAGTTGCATATTCTTTGTTTGTTTGTTTTAGTCAGTACTGGGAATTAAACCAAAGGCCTTCATACTGACTATATCCCTGGTCTTTCTAGAATTTTTTATTTCAAGACAGGTTCTCCCTAAGTCACTCACTCAGGTTGGGCGCAAATTTGTGATCCTCCTGCTGCAGGGCCCCACAGTGCTAGGTTACAGTTGAATAAAGTTTGTCGCAAAAGTATGTGGTTGTTAACAAATATGTATGAAATATAGGAAAGTAGGAAGAAGGGGGAGAATCACCCGTGCACCTATTACCTGCAGATCACTGCTATTTGATATGTTCATCTTTTTTCTTACGTAGAGATTTTTCTTTTCTTCCAGTTTTTTCTAATTGTGTGTTTTTGCATATGTATTTATCAGCTGTTTAGAACCTAAAGTTAGACTGTTTCCACTTTCCTGTAGCTTTTTAAGCATTCTGTATGTTCCTATAGGATACTGAAAAATAAACTTCCTTTCTTAGTCTTTGAACAGAATGACTTAAAGCATTTATACCTAAAACAGGCATATTTTAAGTGGCTGTTCTCTATTGTGGGCCAGCTGCAGGGATACAGTTATGAGTAAGCAATGGTCCTTGTTCTTACAGAACACACCTGCCAGTGTATTATGGTAGATCTTTTAGCAATGAAAATAGAATTCATGTATGCTTAATTCACTTGGAAGTATTTTACATCACAGAAACAAAAGTGTGTACAGTGTTGTCTATCACTTAATCATAATTCATAAGTATTGTTTATACGTATAGCGGGTTTTTTGTTTTGTTTTCTTTTGGTGTTTTGAGACAGAGTCTCGCTTTGTAGCCCAGGCTGGCATCAAACTCAGTGCTCTGTCTGCCTCAGCCTCCAAGGTGCAGGGATTACAGGCAAATGGTTTTGTTTAAAGTGTTTTACTCCAAAGCTGTAAGCTCTGTGAAGGCAAGGACCAGGTCTGTCAGTTATTCTTAGCTCCTGGCTTGCTCAGTGTCTAACATACAGTAAGTTTTCACATATTTCATCAATAAATGAACAGTAGCTACTTTGATAATGAATAAGTTTCTGAACTGTTTTTCAGAAATCCCTGTTAAGATTGATTAGGGGAGGAGAAGGAATAGCAACAGGAGGAGAGAGAAGAATGGGTAGGCAAAAAAGGCTTCAAACTTAGTAAAGTGTACTTTGAAAGCTGTATTTGTCATATATCAAGTAACACTTGACAATTTAATGTTTAAGTGTTTTGTTTTTTGTTTTGATAGAATTATAGTGAACATCATTCATACCACTTTTGATTACCGTCCAAAAGTTGTGCGATTTTTGAATGTGGCTTTTGATGGCTCAGGAGATTGTTTAATAGCTGGGGACCATCAAGGAAATATTTATGTTTTTGATTTGCATGGAAACAGGTAAGCAGATGTTTTTAATATTTACCTTATTTAACAAGTTATCAATTCATTATTTTAGTATCTGCTATTATTTGCTCAGAGAAAGCTTTACTAAGTAAAGGTACCTCAAAAAACAGTCTTAAGTGCCAAAGGAAGAAAGTAGGAAAGGATGGAAAGATATTGGTCAATTTTTTTTAGACTATTGAAGTTCTAGTCTTAACAGTATCTCTAGTAGTTTTTGTCTTAAATTTAAAATATCATTGCCAATTTATTAGTTAATTTCTGGTACTTCATTAGGCAATTTAGAAAGAACATAATTTCCTTTGTACATCATTATTACAGTGTACTGAATTTAAGAATCTTAAAGAATCTCCATTCTTCTCTGTCTTGCTCTTCTCTTCTGTTGCAGAACGATTTAGTCCGGGAGCAGTTAGGTAGGATTGATTGATCAAGGTGGGTATCCATGCAGTAGGGCTTTGGTGAAGGGAGAGCTGCAAGAAAGACAGAAATAAAAGTACTATGTGTGTGAGAATGAGCGAAATATCTATATATACTCCCTAGCTTCATCTACTCAGGATAGGGAGCAGCAACACACGAGTACAGCAGTGAATATACCCAGTCCCCAGTTCTTGTACATACCATTCTTTACTAAAAGTAATCACATGCTTGTAGAAGTGGCCACTTTCACAATAAGAGCAGGGATAGTACAGGTTGAGTCTATGACATTTTGTTGTCAGAAAGAACTTATTCAAAAAATGATGGGAATGTGTCAAAAGAACATAGATGCCAGTTTGAAGGAGCTCCCTCTGGCCACACTGTGGATAATTTAAGCATATAAATAAATAATGTTAGTAATGGGCTATAATCTCCAGATTACAATAAAAATCCATGAGTTCCTGGTATAAGTAATAAATAGTTTATTAGGAATGGAATAGCAAGCAGATCACATTCGGAAAGTACCTCCTAATAAGCTTCTTATTAGTTACAGAAGAAAAAGAAAGTAAGTTTACAGTGAAGAAACCTAGCATACTTGTAATGAAATGATCACAGTTAATATAACCAGTAGTAGGATGAAGCACTTTGTGTGCCACCGGATCAGATCCAGCAAACAGCCTCACCTCTGTGATATTCCAGCCCAAGAGAGGTTACATGATTCCAATCAGGAACCGTCAGACAAAGCTAAATTAGAAACACTCAATAACTAAACTGTCCTGTAACTTTGGTGAGGATCACAGTCATGAAAGTGGTTTAAAGACTGAAGAACTCCCAGATGGAGGGAGATTTGAAGAGACATGACAGTCATGAATCTCTACAGATGCTTTTGCTGTAAAGGACTGTGTGGGACAACTGACAAAATCTGGGTGGGGCGTGGGGGTTTAATGATAGAAATATAGAAATATAATATTTTGATGGTTGTATTAGGGTTGTGTAGGAGCATTTCCTTGTTTGTGGAAAATGTGATCTTGGGGACTTAAAGTCAATGAAAGTGGTAGTATTTATTTATCTGATTTATTAGGTAGAAATCTGCTAATCATTATTCTTGCTCTCACTCTTCTTTTTTATTTTTGGCGGTGCTGGAGATTGATTCCAGTGCCTTGGCGCTGAGCTATATCCCCAGCCCATATTTTATTTTCTATTTGGAAACAGTCTTGCTGAGTCACTGATTTGCCCAGGGTGGTCTTGAACTTCCAGTCCTCTTGCCTCAGCCTTCTAGTGTGCTGGGATTATAGGCATATGCCACCACACCTGGCTGTTTTTGCTCTTTTCCAACAAAGTATTAATCTCAATTTTTCCACCCTCAATTCCATAACCTACTCTGTGAATTTCCAGTCTTAAGTCAGTGTAGCTGTCTCTTTTCTCCTCCTGCTGAACAAAACTGGTTGATAGATTCCATTGCAGAATAATAAAATTCAATCCCAGGGATTCTCAATACTTCATTTACTTATCTGCTCTTATTTACTTTTCCCATTCTCCACTGAGAACCTTTTTGCAAAACTTCTAGTAATTTCTTTGCCTCCTTGTGTTGGACACAGCAATTGCTCTGACTCCTGGCCTCCAATTGATGAGAAAACAAGTGCCTGCAGCCTCCTTTCCTTCTGCTTCATTATAGCCTCAAATGCATAGTATAAATTCCATACCCAAGCTTGTCACTTCATCCATAAATAGGTGGTTGCACCTTCTTCCTGTGGTAATCCTATCTTCTAGAACCTCTCCAAGGACCCTGCACCATGAGTTCCTCTCTTATTTTGTTCATTATCCCTATTCACTTACCTGTTGTAGGGGAGGAAAAAATCATTCTTCCTGTGCCTTTCTAAGTTTCAGCTGGGGCTCACGTAGCAAGGAGAAGATGAACAAGTACCTAACATGGACAGTAGTGTATCACACAAGAGTCCTCAGAAATGCCTGTCTTAGATTCCAACTGGTGACATCTTGCAACAAAGAACAATAATGCATTTCTAGAGAAGTAGCAATACAAAGGGAAAGGACCTTGATTCTCTAAGGGCAGTGACTGTGGGAAGGAAAACATATGGGAAGATCAGGATAGACAGAGACTAGTTAGCAAAGTCTGTTACGTGGATTCCTGTGGTACCATCTCCAGGATGATACAGACCTAAGTTATGGCTGGTACTCAGCCTTTGTCTTTCATACATTTATACACATTATGTACACTTTTAGGCAAATAAGGGGTGGATAGATCATTTCTTATATCTACTTAGTTGCTTTCAGCTCAAAATAATCTGTATGCCAAAATGGTATCTCAGAGTTTCAACCATGTTCTGCCACGCTTCATTGGGTGAGCATGGCTAAACTGAACCACGACTTGAAATTAGACATTACTATAAAGGGTTCTCTATGGGGCGCCCTCAAAATCTTCCTAATTGCCCAATTTGATAGTCGTCTTCTTTTTTTAATTTTTTAAAATTTTTATCTTTTTGAGACACGGCCTTTCTGTGTAGTCTAGGGTATCCTTGACCTTGCTGTGTAGTCCAGCCTGGCTTCAAACTCTTGATCCTCCTCCCTCAGCCTGCTGTGTGCTAGGATTCCAGGTATGTGCCACTGTTGCTGTCTCAGTGGTCTCTTTTTTAAAAAAAAATTTTTTTAATGAAACAACTATTAAATCAAAACTCTACATATCACTCACTTTACAAACTTAAAATGTAAGATTCTGTAGACCCCAGCACACTGACAGAATTGTACAACCACAACTACAACCAAACTTAGGTCAGTTTGCTATCTCACATCAACATACTGCCTACTAGCCGTCATTTCCCAGTCCCTTCCACTTAAATTTAAGTAACCAGTGAGCTACTCTTTATAGATTTTCCTATTCTAGGAATTTACTTTTTTTTTCTTTCAAAATAGACCATGCTCACAACAAAAATAAAGAGTTTAACATATCCAAACAAATGTAAATTCTGCAAAGTGAGCTCTCACACCATATTAGAGTGAAATCAGACTGACAACAGAAACATGCTTAGAATATAATTCCTGTTTTTTCTCTTTTTCTCCCTCTCATCTTTCCTATAACATTTTTCATGTAAAGGAAACCATACAGTGTGCAAACTTGTGTGTCTGATTTGCTTAACATTGTGGTCTCAAGGTGCATCCATTTTCCTACAAATGCTTCAAATTTATCCTTATTGACAGAGTAATACTCCACTGCATATAGGTACCATATTTTCTTTATCCGTTCATCTGTTGATGGGGATATAGGCTGATTCCAAAATTTAGCTGTTATGAAGTGTGCTTCCATAAACATAGGTACACATACATTGCTATGGTGTGATATTTTTGTTTTTGTTTTTTTGGATCATGAATAGCTTGGTTATTTATTTATTTATTTTTAGACAAGGTCTTGCTATGTAGTTCAGGATGGCATGGAACTCACTATGTAGCCCAGGCTGGCCTGGAACTCTGCTGTAGTATCTTTTCAACTGTGAGTAAGATACCCAAAAGGTGAATAGCTGGGTCAAATTGAATTTCTAGCTTTAGTTTTTTGAGGAATCTCCATACTGGTTTCCATAGTGGTTGTGTCAGTTTACACTCCTACCAAAAATGAGCAAGGGGTCCTTTCTCTCCACAGCCTTGCCAGCATTTATTTTTGGTTGATTTTTTGATGATAGCCATTCTTTCTGGGACAAGATGCAATCTTACTGTTTTAATTTGCATTTCTTGAATGGCCAGTGATGTTGAACATTTTTTCATGAATGTATTCACCAACTGTATTTTTTCATCTGAGAAGTATCTATTTATTTCAGATGTCCATTTTTTGGTGGGGTCTTTAAATTTAGGGAGGGGTCTAAGTTTTTTGAGTTCTTTGTATACTCTAGATGTTAGTCCTTTAAGGAGTAGATGGCAAGATTTTTTTCCCATTCTGTATGTTGTCTCTTCACTTTGTTGGTGGTTTCTTTTGATATGCAAACCCTTTTTAATTTAATGGGATCTCATTTGTGGATTCTTGGTATTATTTCTTTTGCAACCACGATTTTATTCAGAAAGCCTTTACCTACACCTATGTCTTTGAGAGTTTTGCCTGTTTTGTCTTCTAGCAAATTAAATGATTCTATTCTAATTTTGAGACCTTTGATCCATTTTGATTTTAGGTTAGTGTATGGTGAGAAGTATGGGTCTAAGTTCAATCTTCAGCAAGTGGAAAGCCAGTTTTCCCAGCACCACTTACTAAAGAGGCTGTATTTCCTCTAGTGAAGGGATTTGGCCCCTTTGTCAAAGATCGTGTAACTGAGCCTGCCAGTCCTTTTTGCACCCTCTATTCTGTTCCATTGATCCTCAAGTCTGTTTTTGCCAGTACCATGCTGTTTTTTATCATTGTAGCTTTGTAGTATAATTTCAAATCGGATTGTGATGCCCCCTGCCTTGTCCTTGTTGCTCAGAATTGCTTTTGCTATTCTAGGTCTCTTCTGATTCCAAATGAATGTTAGAATTGCTTTTTTCAGTTCTGTAAAAAATGTTATTGGTATTTTGATTGGGATTGCATTAAATCTGTATAACAGTTTTGGAAGTATGGCCGTTTTGACTAGATTGGTTATACCTATCCTGGAACATGGGATATCTTTCTATTTTCTGATGTCCTCTTCAATCTCCTTTCTTTTTTTTTCTTTTTTTTTTGTACCAGGGATCGAACTCTGGTCCTTGTGCTTGTGAGGCAGGCGGCAGAACCACTGAGCTAAATCCCTGGCCCTCAATCTCCTTTCTTAAAGTACTCTGGTTTTCATTGTAGAAGTCTTTCACTTCCTTGCTTAAGTTAATTCCTAAGCAATTCCTTTTCTTGGTGCTATCATGACATATTTTTTCCTACTTTCCCTTTCAGTGAGTTTATTATTGGTATATAGGAACACTATTGATTTTTGAGTGCTGACTTTATATCCTGCTATATTACTAAATTTGGTTATTAGTTCTAGGAGTCATTCAATGGAGTGTTTAGAGTCTTCTATGTAGAGGATCATGCCATCTGTGAATAATGATAATTTAACATCTTTCCCTATCCATATTCCTTTTATTTCTTTCTCTTGTTTAATTGCTCTAGCTGGTGTATCAAGAACTATGTTGAACAAAAGTGATAGCGGACATCCTTGTCTTGTTCCTGATTTAAGAGGCAAAGTCAGCTTCTCACTTGTTAAGTCTTGTTAGCTGTTGGTTTGCCATAGATGGCCCTTATCAGATTGAGATAAGGACCCTCTGTTCCTATTTTCTTGAGAATTTTTATCATGAGTGGATGCTAAATTTTATCACATGCTTTTTCCATGTCTATTGAGATGATCATGTGATTTTTGTCCTTGCATCTTTTTTCACTTCTTTACCGAAAGACTGAATACCCCTGTCTTCCTCTCCTCATTGATGTTTTTTTTTGCAAAACCACTTTGGCTTCATGGTACAACTCTGTGGGTTTTTCTGCCTCTCTGACCTTTGTGTCCCTTGTTTTGCTGAATCTTCTTTCAGTGCCTACCTTTAATGTGCTACCTGGGCCCCTGCCCCTGTCTTTTTTCCACATTCTAGTTCTCTCTGATAATCTCATCTCACAAAGCCTCAGGCTTCATTTGCCATGTAAAGACTGCTCACTCCCATGCCCTCCCTGCTAAAATCTCTGTTGAGCTCTGTGATGGTCACTCTGCATACGGCTCCTGAGCCTCTGAAAGGTGGCTGGCTCATCCAAAGAGACATGTTGTAGGTATAAAACTAAAATACTCACTGGATTTTGAAGGCTTAGTATGAAAAAAGGATTTAGAATTTGATTAAATGTTGAAATGATAACATTTTAGATACATAATGAGTTAATAAAACGTTAAGATTAATTTTACCTGTTTCTTTTTACTTTTTAAATGTAGTTCCTAGAAAATTTTAAATTACACATGTAGACACATTGTATTTTTTTGACAGCATGGTTCTAAATGTTTTACATGAGGCTTAGCCTCAACATGTTTAAAATTAGATACAGGGGCCAGGGATTTAGCTCAGTGGTTTTGCCGCCTGCTGCACAAGCTCAAGGACCCAAGTTCAATCCCTGGTACCAAAAAAGTAAAAAATAAAAAATAAAATACTATTTCCTACCCTCAAGCTTATTGCTTTTTGCCTTAGCACTGTGCTTAGTTTTTTAATAAACTCCAGCTGTGTCAAGTGCTCTACTAAGCACTCATTGTGTATTATTTAATCAAGACAGCCTTACAAAATCTCTGTTCCACCAGGGATTTAGCTCAGTGGTTCCACTGCCTGCCTCACAAGCTGAAGGTCCCGAGTTTGATCCCCGGTACCAAAAAAAAAAATTACACAAAATCTCTATTCCTATCTTCATTTGATATGTAAGACATTTCTAATTTTTTCTCCTGCACCTATATTTTTCTCCTGCACATATATACCATGTCTCTTTCTGCTTAACTTCTGAAACCTCTCTTTGTCCTTTGCGTTATGTATCTCTGATTGAGATTCTGTCTGGCAGCTTTCTTTTTTCTTTTTTTCCCTGTACTGGGGATCGAACTTGGGTCCTTGCACTTGAGCAGCAGGCGAAACCACTGAGCTAAATCCCCGGCCCTTTTTTTTTTTCCTTTTTTCTTTTTTGGTACTGGGAATCAAACTCAGAGCCTTGAGCTTGCCAGGCAGGCACTGTGCTGCTGAGCTACATCCCCGGCCCAGGAAGGCTTTCTAAAATGAGCTCCTTTTTACCTTGCCCCTCTGTCAAGCCGTTTGCCATTGCTGCCAGGCTCATCTTCCTGAAAGACACACCTGCTCATAATTTTGCTATGCTAAAACTTACAATAGCTTCCTATTTGATATAAGTGAGATTCAGTCTTCTTAGGCACATAATGCCTTTTATAAATCTGGTTTTTGGCCTACCAAAATGGCTCATTTTTCTGAATGTTATTTTCTTTATCTTTTTTTTTTTTTTTTGAGACAGAGTCTCCCCAGGTAGTCCAGACTGGCCTTTGAGCTCACTGTGTAGCCCATGCTGGCCTTGAACCCACAGGGATCCTCCTGCCTCGGCCTCCCGAGTGCTGAGATCACAGGGTGCACCACCACCCCAGCAGTTTTCTTTATCTTTAAGGGCTCCACCAACATAACAATTTTTGACTATTGGTAGAATGTCTGATTCTAACACAGCGATCTCTCCTTAGGTTTAATCTTGTTCAGCGGACAGCACAAGCTTGCACAGCTCTGGCCTTTAATCTTCACAAAAAGTCTGAATTCCTTGTGGCATTAGCTGATTATTCTGTAAAATGTTTTGATACAGGTAAGAAGTCCTCCTCTTTGTCCGTGAAACAGAGAAAATTATATACTAAAGTACTGCAAGAAATTTACTGATCTGTACAGCTGACAACAGCTCCCAGAAGACTCCTCCCCTCAGACCCAGCCTCACTTCAGATTGGCTGCTTACCAATGCAAGGTTCTCCAACTACTCCTAGGTCCAGTAATTCACTAGAATAACTCACAGAACTTAGAGAAGGATTATAAGCTTAACATAGCACAGGGATACAAATTAGAGCTAGCAAAAGGAAAAGATGCACAGGCTGGATCCTGGGAAGCTTCCTTGGCTTGGGGATGTGTGACATCAACATGCAGAAGTGTGCCAAATGCTGCTGACCCCAAAAGTTCACCCAGGCTTCTGTGTCGAGAGTTTTTATGGAGGGTCCATTTCCTAAGCACAGTTGATTGAATTATTACCCATGTGGCTGAATTCTGTTTCCAGCCCTCCTTCTCTCCCAAGCAGTTAGGCTGATAATATCTTCCGATCACATGGATGGTTTTCTTGGCACTGCCAGTCCTCACTCTGAGTCTTCATAACATTAACAATCTCCACATGGTCTGAATCTCATCATGAATAACACAGATACTCCTTTCACGTGGGAAGTTCCAGAGGTTTAGAGGTTATCTCCTAGGAATCTGGGCTACAGCCAGACCTCTCTTGGAAGAGATTCTTTGCTACAAGGTATACATTTAAAATATATATATAGAGAGAGAGAGAGAGAGAGAGAGGGAGAGAGAGATCCTTTGGGGTTGAGGTATAGCTCAGTGGTAAAGTACTTGCCTGGTATGTGTGAGGCCATAGGTTCAATCTTCAGCACCATACACTTTCAGATACAAAATAGATACCTGCGTATTTTATACCACATATTTTTAAATTGGAACTGTAAAGTACTGCGGACTAAATTTCTTACTCCTAAAAAGAAGAGAAGGATCTCAACTGTATTTTTTTCTTATTATTAAAGTAATTGGTATTATAATACTTAGGTATATAAATAAAAACAACAGTAATGATAGTGACAATAATCTGAGTATAGTGGCACATACCTATAATCCTAGCAATCTGGGAGACTGAGGCAGAAATTTGATCCCAGACTAGGCAATTTAGTGACTTAGTAAGACCCTGTCTGAAAAAATAAGAAAAGTGCTGGGGCCTTAGCTTAATATGAAGGCCATGGGTTCAATTCCCAGTACCTCAAAAAGAAAAATGACAACAAACATTTATGGTATTCTTTGCCAGAAACTATTCTGTGCCTTTATACATATTAATTGATTTTAATCGTCATAATAATTAACCCACCCTGATGAATATTATTATCACTTGCAGATGAAGAAACTGAGACATAGAGGTTAACTTGACCAAGGCTCCACAGTTGTAAGCAGTGGAACCAGAATTCCAACCTAGAGTCCCGGCTTTAAATAACTGTGCTCTGTATGCACAAGAAAAAGCAGTCATCCTTTAGTGATGCCCACAGACAGTGTTTTATGACAGGGCTCTGTCTTTCTAGCCTGTTTTCTATAAATATACTTTTAAATAATCTAGCAAATTGTTTCATAGAATCATTTCACCTCATAAGATTCATATAATCTGTTTTAGAGCAATATATAACATACTGTGTAGATGCTGATAGTACCATAATTATTTATGTTGCCTATTTTTGGACTTCTAAACTGTTTTCAGTTTTTGGTATTACAGACACTACTGTGACCAAAATTCTAAAGAATTCTTAGTACTCATTTATGATCGCTTTTCTTAGATTCCACTGTTCTCGCTTTCTTTTCTCCTGTCTCACTGAGCCCCCCATTGAAGCCCCTTGCTTAGGTGCTGTTTCCACCTCCCTAACTACCCAGCTTGCCTTCTTCTTTCCCTGCCCTGCCAAATCCTGCTTCCTCACAGAATTCTTTGATGAATTCTAACCCTTGTGCCTCCCCTCCATTCTACTGCGATTTCTGTCTCCAAGGTCATTAATAACCTCTGATTTAAATTCTGTACCTGTCATCCTACTTATAAGTCTTTAGTTTCCATTCTGTGACCTCTCTTGGTTCTCCTCCTTTCTTACTGTTTAGCAGTCTCTCCTGGATTCTTTGAGTGATTTCCTAGACTTTTGGATTTTTAGTGCAACTAAAATACAGTAATTCACTTAGCCAATTTTTAATTTTGTTAATTGACATTGGAAAAAGCAATGTAATTTTATTTTTTCGAACAAAGGATTTTTTTCTCAGCATAAAGTTGGAGAGATGTAATACTAAAGAGTAGTGCTTTAAATTTAGCTTCATGAAAAATTCACTACATTATCCTGATTTTTCTCATTTTACTGAAGACCAATGAAAAATTAATGCCAGTCTTTGGACTACTGTTTGGAAACCACTAAGTAACTTGTTCCTGTGTCTTCAGTTTTAACCTTTGTATCGTAATGTTTGCTAGGCTTATTTCTTACTTTGACTATTCTTGGTTCAGTCCTTCTGGGGGAAGAATTCTGATTATAAAAGTAAAATATACAAACTGTAGAATATTTTGAAACATATAGAACAGTACTGTATGGGGATGAAATAAAAATCATTTATAATTTTACTATCCAGAGACAATTATCATGAACAGTTTTGGAATTTACCTATCAGACTATTTTCTCTGCTTACACAGATAAAACTCTCAAAATTGATTTTTCAGATAAAATTTATGTTTCCTACATTGCTGAATCTGTTCCTCCTCACATATTAATAAGTTAATAGTGTCACCACCTGCTTACATAACTAAACTAGAACCACTGAAGTTGTAACACTTCCTTTATCTCTACATTGATTTAATTTCTAAGCCCTTTCATATTTCTTAATAGCTTTTTTCTTCCTCCTCCTCCTCCTCCTCCTCCTCCTCCTCTTCTTCTTCTTCTTCTTCATAGCTTTTGAATTTGTTCCTTTCTCCATTGTCCCTTTTTTTAGCGTAAGCCTCTATTTCCTACCTGGATTATTATGGCAATATGTAAATGAATCTTCTTGTTTAATCTGTTTCACTCTTCTAATATACTCATCAGATACGTTACTCTTCTACATAGGATTTTTACCCACAAGAGTTCCCAGACTCCCTAATGTCGCATGTGAGTCCATTTATAAACCCCTTGTGGACCTTACCTCCTGAAACCTCCATGATGTACATGTTACTGACATGTGCCATCGTAGATGTTAGTGAAAGTGCCTCACATGATACTGTATTTTTGTCAGCTTTTCCCTTGCTGGGACAGAATAACTGATGTCCACCACTTAAAAGACAAGAGGTTTAATTTGGGTAATGGTTTCTGGGGATTCAGTTTGTGGTCACCTGGTTCCAAGACAGAAACATCATAATGGAAGAGTGAATGGAGCAGAGATACTTCATATAGGGCAGCCAGGAAGCAGACAGGGGAACACTGCTAGAGAAGAAAGGGTGAGGGACCAGATCACACATTCACGACCCTCCTCTAGACTTACCCAGAAGTGTCCTTCACCAGTCTCCTAGCTAGCTCCCAAGTCAATCAGGTTGACACAGTCAAGCTTAACTGTTACAGAGACTTAGCCATCAGTTAATCTCTTCATATGCAGTGTTTATTTATAGGATATGTATAGATGAATAGTGTTTTTGTTGTGTAACAATTTTACTTTTCCCACAGTCACCAAGGAGCTGGTTAGCTGGATGAGAGGACATGAATCATCAGTATTCTCAATATCTGTGCATGCCTCAGGGAGATACGCCATCACTACTTCTTCTGATACAGCACAACTATGGGACTTGGATACCTTTCAGAGAAAAAGAAAACTGAATATTCGCCAGTCTGTGGGTATACAGAAGGTGAGAGATGGGATGTCTTGGCCTGTTGGGGCTTCTTAGGCTAGTTTCCTGGTCAGCAGAATTTAGAGATGATAGAAGAGTAATGATTAATTTTGTCCTTTATAGCTATGTTCTCATAACTCAGCAATAGGCAAAGCAAAGGGCTGACATGAATAATGATGTTGCCTGTAACTGCAGCTTATAACTTACTGAGCTTTTTTCTGTTTTTTTTTCTTGCTTATTACAATAGCTATGAAACCTCAACTCTCAGAAGGTGATAGTTTTTATAATTTTAATATTTTAACAACCACACCACAGTTTTGATAGGAAGAATTTCAAACATATAACAGATTTGTAAGAATTTCACGGTGAACATATGTATATATAAAACTGCTTTCTGGAGTCTGCCAGTAGCATGTTACTGCACTGACCTTTACTGGAGAGTACTTTGCAGCATCCCCAACCTTCTTGGCACTGGAACCAGTTTCCTGGGAGATAGTCTTTCCACAGGGGCAGGAGTGAGGGTGCCCCTCCCCTGCACAGTTGACAGGATACTTGCTGTTACTAGAATCCCATGGCTACTGATCTGATAGGAGGTGCAGCTTGGTTGGTAATGCCTGGAATCCGGAGCAGCTGTAATACAGGTAACACTGCGCCTGGTTGCCCACCACTCATCTCCTTTCGTACAGCACTGTCCTAACAGGCCACAGACCGGTACCAGTCCAGGGCCTGGGGTTGGGAACCTGCTGTACATGTTACTGTTACATGATACAGATCTATCCATATTTCTATCCCTTTGGTCATTAATTCTTCGTGTATGATATGTGTGTTTTAAATTGCAGCCATCAGTGTATGTCCCTATAAATACTTAAGCCTATGTTTAATTGAATGATTCAATAGTGTTTGTTGATGTGAGGTTTCTATATAATGAAGCACGTGTCTTAAGTATTCAAGTTCACACATGCATACGCCATGCAGACCTAGCATTACTAGCTGTCATCCCAGGAATTTCCGTCATGTCCCTTCCTGAGTAAGCACTACTCTTGATGTTTTTTCACCATAGATTGGTTTTCCCTAGTCTAAAATTTCATGTAAATTGAAATATTTAAATGTTTTTTGTAAGGCTTTTTTCACTCAGCATGTTTTTGAAATTTATCTGTGTTGTATATGTACATCAATAGTTTGTTTCTTTTAATTGCTGATTAGTATTCCATTGTATAAATATACCACCTTTTAAAAAATAGGGCCAGGGATTTAGCTCAGTGGTTTCACTGCCTGCTGCGCAAGCGCAAGGACCTGAGTTCGATCCCCGGTACCAAAAACTAAAAAAATAAGTAAATAAATAAAAATTTAAAATACCCATTTTCTTGCTTTTTGTGGTACTGGGGATCGAACTCAGGACCTTGCGCTTGTGAGGCAGGTGGCAGAACCACTGAGCCAAATCCCCGGCCTTCATTTCTCTTGCTTTTAAGGTTTAATTTTTTTCTATTTGATTAGCTAAATACTACTTCCAGGCATATCTTAGTCTCCCATGTGAATGATTGCTTTAGGCTGTATTATATATGCAGTATTGTTTTTAATTTCTTGGTTATTAATATGAACAGCTAGTAATGTATGTCAACCAAAAATTTATTTTGTAGTCTCCCTGGCAATTCCAGAGTTCTTTGGTGTACCTTTAATAATTAAAAAGAGATAAAAGTTGTAGCCAATTTATTCTTAGGGATTTAGTCTTAGTAGGTCTTTTCTTTAATTGCTTTAGCTCTTGAATTGAATTTTAAATTCCAAAGAACAGAGCATTGGGAGTTTAAAGCACAGTGGAAACAGAGTTATGAAACAGTGATACAGAAGCCATCTGTTCTTTTTGTCATGAAATTAAAGTTGTATACACTGGATAGTTGCCAATGCTAGCCTTGCTTGGTCATTTGGACATTTTATTCTAAAAAATAGGATCCCAATGTTAGTGGTAGAAGAATAAAATTAAATGTAGAAAATGTATGTATAGAGTGATACATGCATATAAATATATTATTCTGAGATAACAGAGCACCATGATCTAGAAGTTACCAGCAGACTTTGCAGGCCAACAGCAAAGCTACATAACTATTTAAAATGTGACCATTTAAAAATATAAGACATTTTTAGCTCCTGGGCTGTATAAAAATTGGAGGTAGGCCAGATGATTATTACCCCTGGCTTACATTGTTGAAAATAGGCAAAAAAATATAATTTTAATCTTAAAATTTTATTTGTTAATTTTTTACTAAACTTCTATATTTATTCCAGGCTCAGAGTCTATATTTTAAATAGAACATTTATTTGTTTGTTTATTCATTTATTTAGGAGATACATGAACCCCATGAAGTAACTTTCTATGATTACTTTGCTGTGAAGCTCATTTTATGATGGGACTTTAAAAACTGTCCCACTTTTTGGTGTTGATTTTTTTGGAGAGTTAGGCCAGTTGTCTTGGAAAATGCCCCACATTCTGAATTTTTCCTCCTGTTTCTTGTTGTTTAACTTGGTTTTTTTCTGCCTTGCTCTTCTTTCTTTCTTTCTTTCTTTCTTTCTTTCTTTCTTTCTTTTTTTTTTTTTTTGGTACCGGAGATCGAACTCGGGTCCTTGCACTTGCACTGCCTTGCATTTCTTACAAACTAGATGTTAGACAGATTTGAGTAAATTTATATTAAACTTTCTGATAAGCTATTTACCTACGTGTCAGGTGAAAATAGTGATAATACCGACTTTGGAATTGATTTCAGCCCTGGCTGAGCATAGCACTTAGGATGGTGCTGATAGTATAATAAATGCTTAGTAAAATCGAAGTTATGTTGCTTCTGTTATTGTTATTATCAAGATATATTATGAGGGCTGGGGATTTAGCTCAGTGGTTTCGCCGCCTGCTGCTCAAGTGCGAGGACCTGAGTTTGATCCCCGGTACCAAAAAAACCCCCCAAAAAACAAAAATATATTATGAGATTTTTTTTCAGTGCAATTAGATATGTTCTTAAAAAGCTGTAAGATAATGTTGTTAGGGCCAGCGATTTAGCTCAGCTGGACTGCACCTGCCTTGCAAGTCCAAGGTCCTGAGTTGGATCACCAGTACCAGGAAAAAAAAAAAAAGATAAATGCTGTTGTTTTTCTTTTGAACTGCCTTATCTGTGCGCACAGTTCCATATTAGCAAGTCAAAACTCCAAGGTTTTTTGTTTTTGAGACAGAAGTTCAGGCTAGACTCAAGCTCACAGCAATCCTCCTGCCTCTGTCTCCCAAGTGCTAGGATTATAGGAATACGCCACAAGGCCCTGTTTAAAACAAATGTTTAACCATTGGCAAAATATGATTTGACCTTAGTTAATTTGGCCGCAAAATCTGAGCTGAATTTGACCTGAGGCTGAAGTATTAATATACCTGAGTATACGCTAAGCTACTGCCCCAGATCATAGGACACCATAGAATACGTGTCGAATTAGAGTGCCTTTTAAATTTGTGAAATAATTCTGGATTCTGAAACATGTCTGGCCCTCAAGTTTCCACATAAATCACTATGGATCTTTGTTTTCTTTTTTTTTTTTGGTACTGGGGATCAAACTTGGGTCCTTGTGTTTGTGCAGCAGGCGGCGAAACCACTAAGCTAAATCTCCGGCCCTGGATCTTTGTTTTCTAAGTATTTTTAAAGAATTTACTACTGTACCTCTTTGCCTTGAATGTTTCCTTCTTTCCCCCTTTTTGACCGGGGATGGGGTAGGGCTTGAACCTGGGGCCTTCACAGTGAGCTATATGCCTGACCCTTTTTAAGGTTTTTGTTGTTGTGTTGTTTTGGTTTGGTTTGGTTTGGTTTTGGTTTTGAGGCAGAGTCTTGCTAAATCTTTACTAAGTCTCTGCCTAAGCTGAGCTCAAACTTGAAATTCTTCTGCTTCAGCCTTCCAGAGTGCTGGGATTACAGTCATGTACCACCAGTGCCCACATTGCACAGATTTTAGGGTGTAGTAATAGCAGTAATACTAATATATCAGTTGTTGACTACCTGTTTTCACTAGCACCTTATGCTTACATAATCCTAAAAGGCAGACATGATTTTCCCCTTTTACAGGTTAAACCATTGTCCAGTATCTTATAAAGAGAGTTGCAGTTTGAATTCAAAGCTGTCTTAAAATCATTGCATTACTGCAAACTATTTCTTAGGTAAACCAGTTACACGCCTTCAAATTGGTAAATTTCAATTCTTTTGTTGATTCTTTGAGGTGGAATTTTCAGTTCTTCAGTATGGATTTTGGAGTGAATGGTGGAATTTGTGATTACTGTGGTCCCATATGTATAGGAAAGGGGTTTGTGATGTATATCAGGAAACATTTAATAAAGAGTATTGCTGAATCTAATTCAGTCTTTGTAGACAGGGAGCATTCTCTCAATTTTTACCAAATTATACATTTGACTTTAACTTGCTGATAACTATCTTGGACTCTTGTTGAACTTTTTTTTTTTTGGTGGGAGGGATTGAACTTGGGACCTTGTGCTTGCAAGGCAGGGAGCGGAACCACTGAGCTAAAACCCCAGCCCCTTGTTGAACTTTGATAAGAGCTCATGTACCTCTCAAAACTGAATTGGAGCCGGGGATGTAGCTCAATGGTGCTGCACCCTGCCTCACAAGCACAAGTTCCCAAGTCGATCCCTGGTACCAAAAAAAAAACTGAATTGGAAGCCAGGCATGGTGACTCATGCCTCTGATCCTAGCATGAGGAAGGCTGAGGCAGATTGCAAGTTCAAGTCCTGCCTGGGTAATTTAGCAAGACCCCGTCTCAAAATGAAAAAATAAAAGGGGATTTAACTCATTGGGTTTGATCCCTAGTACTGCAAAACAAACAGCAGCAACAAAATTGAGTTGGTAAGTGGTGATTTGGATATGGTTTAAGAATGTGTGCTGGGAGCTTGGTCCTGTGTCTGTTAGGAAATGGTGGAAACTTTGTGAGATGCACCCTTCGTTGGGGGCTCCACCCTTGTTGGAAGGGATTATATGTGTAGAGGGTATTGTAAAAAGAGCAAGCCTGGCTCCTGATCCCTGGGGCTTCCAGCTGTTCCACACTCCGACCATGATGCTGTGTTGTAATGTATCCAGAGGCCCTCCCAGCACTGAGTGGAAGGAGCTGCTTTGCTCTTGAACCTCCAGAAGTGTGAGCTAAATAAGCCTTTCTTCTGGGGCTGGGGATGTAGCTCAGTGGTGCCACGCCTCCCTCACAAGTGCAAGGTCCTGGGTTCAATCCCCAGTATGAAAAACAAACAAACCTTTTTTCTTTACAAATTGTTTGGATCAGATATTTTGTCATGGCAACAGAAAATAGACTAACATAGAAAGTTTAGGGTTTTCATATTATTAACAGAAAAACTACAGCTCCATGAACTCCCCACAGAAAGTATGTTTTGTTAATGTTTTTAAAGTTTTCCCTAAGATTTTTATTTTGTCTGTGAGATGACACTATGGCCTGGTGGGCTGACTCACATCTGCAATCTTAGCACTCTGGGAGGCTCAGGCAGGAGGATTAGTTTCAAGCCCAGTCTGGGCAATTTAGTGACTTAACAAGACCCTATCTCAAAATAAAAAACAAAAAAGGACTGGGAATGTAGCTCCCTGGGTTCAATCCCCAGTACTGGAAAAAAAAGAGAAAGAAAGAGAGCAAGAAATAGAGATGACACTGTGTAAATAATAATGACGATTCATTAGGAACAATTTTATAATCATTAAAATCTGGCAGTTAAAGTCACAAATCTAGTAATGAATAATCATCAAGGAATAATCTGTCACAGCCATTAACCAAAATAGCAATTGAGGCTCATTAACTTTTTTTTTGCTACCGGGGATCGAACTTGGGACCTTGTGCTTGTGTGGCAGGCGCCGGAACCACTGAGCTAAATCCCCGGCCTCATTCACTTTTAAGCTTTTGCTTCTTCCAGTAGGAATAAACTTTATAAGTTTTCTAGAAAAATAATTATAATAAGAATTTTAAGTCATTTTTTGACATTAATTTTAAAAGTATCTTACTGAATTCATAGAGATTACAGTATTTTCATTGCACGTTCTATCAGACCCTCGTGTTATAAATCTTCCTAACACAATGACTCTATTACCACAAGGTGTCTGTCTTAGTTTCTTGTGGCTGCAACACAAGACCTAATACCCATAATTTAAAGGAGGAGAGATTTACTTTGGTTCACAGTTTCAGAAGTTTTAATTTCTGGTTGGTAGGTTTCAGGGCAGAAATGGCACAGTGGGAGAGCACTAGTAGAGGAAATCTGCTCGTTTAGTGATGGCCAGGAAGCTAAGAGAGCAAAAGGAGGAACTGTAGAGGGAGAAAAACCCTTCCAGGTCCTGCTTCTGATAACCCGCCTCTAACCAGGTCCTGCCCAACAGCAAGCCAGGTGCAACACTTGCATAATCCAGTCATCTTCCAAAGCCCAACTTCTGAATAAAGGAGCCTTTTGGAGGACCTTCTAGATCTCAGCCATAAGAGTCTCCCAGAGATCGTCTTTGGCACAGTGAGCCAGAGGCAAGAGTGAGGCTCTCAATCAGGCTCTTGCCTGATGTACCAGTGTCTTATGTAGTTTAATTACTCACCATTTTTATTGTGTGCTATTGGTATTAATCCCACGTGTATAGTTTTACTTACCCAGTATGTTCCACGATGCATTATACGTATATATGCTCTGTCCACGTGTATTCACAGAATTATACTTGAGGCAGTGAACCTTTCATGGGAAAATGTTGCACAGTTTCCCTTAAAATTTTGTATTATCAAAAGTAAGCATTGTTTAGTATTTATGAAATAAAAAGTGGAAATTAGAAGATAAATGGTGATGTTTTCAACTCTGCTGTCAATGAATTTTACTGTTTTTCTTTCAAATATGCCTATTAAATAAGTATGTATTTCAGTTTTTTCTTTCATAAATAATGTTTGCATTTATTTTAAAATACTTTGCTATCAAGCATGGTGGCATACCCCACCTGCACAAGAGAGGCTGAGCTTGGAGGGTCTCAAGTTCCAGGCCAGCTGGGCTACATAGTGAGGTCAAGGCCAGCCTGGACTGCATGGTGAGACCCTGTCCCTGTCTCAATAAATAAATGAGTGATTGAATAAATGAATCCGCTTCACCAATTATTCCCAAAGGACTAACTCTTAGAAGTAAAGTGACTAGTTCCAGAAAGATATATTATGTTTTTTAAGGCTATTGAGACATAGAGCATAATACCTTTAACCAGTTTTTATTCCCAGCGCATAGTATATGACAGTGTCCTTTCCCTGTACTTTCACCAACACTTAGTTTTTTAATTTTTATTTATTTTTGTAATGCGAAGAACTCCAGGAGCACTGAGCTACTACACCCCCAGCCCTTTTTATTATTTTATTCTGAGACAGGGTTTTATTAAGTTGCCAAGGCTGGCCTTGAACTTAAGGTCCTCCTATCTCAGCCTCCCAAATAGTGGGCTTACAGGAGTGCACTGCCATGCCTGGCAGTATTTAATGCTTTTTGACATTTATTTGTAGTTAAATACAGTGTTTATATAAATATGCAGTCTTGTATTGCTGAATGACAGTATGTTCTGAGAATGTTGTTAGGCAATTTCATTGTGTGAAAACCTAGATGGTCAATCACCTGATGTGACCTCTTGATGTAATCAGGATCCTGGGTGAAAACAAGATGTATAAGACTGTTGACAGTGTATTACAGCATGCTTTTTTTTAAGTAACTGGGAGGAGCCAGGCATGGTAGCACACACCTGTAGTCCTAGCACTCAGAAGGCTGAGGCAGGAGGATTGCTTCAAGGTCACCCTGAGCTACATAGTGAGACCCTGTCTCAAAAAAAGAAAGATAGTTAGGAGAAGCCTAGTCTACAACAGAAAACATAACATTGTAAGTATATACACAGAAGCCATCTTTTATGATTAGGTACTGTGTACTGTACATTGGCGTGTGTACTACACTTCACACCTCTGACAGTGCAGTGGGTGTGTTTACAGCACAGTCACCACAAACCCGTGCTCCCACCTCACAGCGCTGGCCGCCATGTCTGCTGTGCCCTGTGAGACAGCAGGCAGAGATCCTCGAGGAGGAGGCAGAGGCTGCGTGGTTAGTTCGTCAGCACGTGTTAGTGAGTGTGTGTACAGATACGCAGTTTGTGCACGCATAGGACAGTGATTTTAAACAGATTTGATACTTTAAATGGAATCTCACTTTCACATGAGTTTTTTAGTGAGATGAAAAAGTTTATATTATTACTTAGATTTTTTAAAAAATTGGGCCGGGGATTTAGCTCAGTGGTTCCGCTGCCTGCCTCACAAGCGCAAGGGCCCGAGTTTGATCCCCAGTAAAAAAATTGCCTAGGCATGATAGTCACCTGTTTTTTTATTTGAAAGAGTTTTACCGTTTTCTTTTACTTTGTTATGGTTTGTGAAATATACCATATATATTCATATATTATAAATGCATTTCTCTATAGTTTAAGATCGTTTTTTTAAAAATCGACCACTTGTATAATTTTCAATTTAAAAGAACCATCTGAAGCTTATGTAGAAAAATAACTCTGTCCTTCTCTCTAGGTTTTCTTCCTACCTTTAAATAATACCATTCTCAGCTGTTTTAAAGATAATTCCATCTTTGCCTGGGAGTGTGATACTCTTTTTTGTAAATATCAATTGCCGGCTCCACCTGAAAGCTCTAGTATATTATACAAAGTGTTTGCTGTGACCAGGTAATGTATATTTTAAGACATTGGGAATTAAGAAATTTAATTTTTAGTTAAAAATTACAGATTTTCCTTCTTTTTTTTTTTTTGGTACCGGGGATCAAACTCGGGTCTTTGCACTTGTGCTGCAGGCGGTGAAACCACTGAGCTAAATCCCCGACCCCTTACAGATTTTCATTCCATATCTTCTTGTCGCATGAGAAAACATTTCCTTCAAATTTAGATGCAGTTTGCAGACCTTGTTTTTGTTTTTACTTTACTTCACAAAATTTGAAATATTCCCCAAAACAGCAAAGTACATGAACCTGTAAGTACCCTCCTCGTCTATAGTGACCATCAGCGAACGGCTACTCCCACTTTTATCTGTAACTGTTTACTTCTCTTGTGTATTGTTCTGGAGCAAAACTGAAGCATAGTGTTTTGTCTATCAGTATTTCAAAAATAAGGGCTCTTTTAAGAACCATAGTTGTTAGGCGGGGGATTTAGCTCAGTGGCACGGCTCACCTGCCTTGCAAGTGCAAGGTCCTGAGTTCTATCCCCGGTACCAAAAAGATAACATACAAAAAACCAAAACCATGGTTGTTGTTATATGTTTTGAAAATTAATGTTTAATATTGTCATGTAGTCATTGTTAAAATTTTCCTGATTTGTCTATCGACTGTTTTTTAGTGACAGATTTATTCAAGTCAGGAGCAAAGTTCCCACATTGTATTTAGATGATATTTCCTTTTTCAGTTTTTTTTCTTGTAATTTAAGTGGTCAATCTCCGGTGGCATTTTCTACTTTCCAGATTTTCTTATGTCCATGTGGTAGTATTTAATATGATCCTCTGTCATTTATGTTTCCTGTACACTGGTTAAACTTGTATTTCTTAAAAACTATAGAGGCACAGGGCCAGGGATTTAGCTCAGTGGTTCTGCTGCCTGCCCCGCAAGCGCAAGGACCCAAGTCCAATCCCCAGTACCAAAAAAAAAACCTACAGAGGCTTGATTTGAGTCAAGAGCAGGAAAATAAGTGGTTTGTATACTTTGATCAGGAGGAAGCTAAACACTTGGTCTTTGATTTGAATGGCCTTGATGATCATTACCTAGATACCCAGTGTTGCATGAGAGGGTTGACAAAGTGGTTCTGTCTACCACTTCCTCTTCACTCCTTAACTAGTTCTAATTCTGTCATTCCTTTTTCACTTATTAATTAGGAACCTTGTGCAGAAACAAACTTTCTCTCATCAATTCTTTGATTACTTTGATACACAGTTTATAAAAGAAAAACCAATAAATGCTTGATTTCTTCCCCTGTTTTTCTTAAACCAATTTTCAAAGTAAAGAATTGGTTTATTGGCATCTTACGAAGGTAGCCTTGAAGTTTTTCGTCTTTAAATTGTTGGCACGTTTTATTTCATTGCAGCTAATATTCTTAGTATGCTCCCATTCTCTCATCATCAACCAGTGGGATCGTCTTCAAATCCCCTTTTTGTTTTTTGGTTTTTTTCTCTTTTTTTGGGTACCGGGGATTGAACTAAGGACCTTGTGCTTGCCAGGCAGGCACGGTGCCACTGCGCTACATCCCCAGCCCCAAATTCCCTTTTGAATTCTTCTGATATCACCTTAGTTGTCTTGGTAGCTTTCATGCTTTCTGGTATGACTAGATGTTCCAAGTGTATCTTGTGTACATTTCCTCTCTCAAGCCTGAAATCAGCTATTTCTCTAAAGAGTGTAGGTTCAATTTAGTGGAAAATGGCATCTCAAGATCCTAGTCTGGAGCTAGGGGTACTCTTTGATTGGGCTGATAATTTTTTTCTAGGCTTTTTCAGTGGAAACAGCTAGGAAATAGGTATTGATTTCTCTCTTTTTTCACCCTTTTCTTTTAAGTCATCAGTAAATCCTATCAACTCTACCAAACTATATATAAAATTGGGCAATTCTTTGTCCATTGTCACAGATCTTACCCTAGTACAAGCAAACCTAATATCTTTCAGACTACTGTAATAACCTCCTTACTTGGTCTCCATTTCCCATTTCCTAGAAATCAGTCTCTGTACAGCAAATGGAGTGGTCGTTGTAAATCATTAAGACAGTTGATGTCACTTTTCCATTTGACTCCCTTGAAAGGCTTTCCCCTACACTCAGAGGAAAATCTACACTGCCCAGCAAATACCCTGACTGACGCCTCCTGTTACCTGCCTAGGCTTCCCTCTTTATCACGCCTCCTCCCCCTTAATCTGCTCAGCCACGCTTGAGTACAGCCTCTTACTTTCCCCAATACACTAACCTTATCCCTTTGCAGTCCTGTGCTGGCCGTTCTGGGATTCTGACCAGTATAGAATTCTTCCTCCAAATCACCCTATGATTGGCGCATTGATGTCATTCGGGTAGGAGCAGATCTTTCTTCTTTCTCAGCTTTCATCACCTCCTTTTATAGTACTGTGTAGAATTTGTCACCAGCTGGGATCGTCAGTTCATTTGTTTGTTTACCTTCCTTTAGAAAGAAATTCCCGTGAGAGCAGGATTACCTAACTTGTCCAGTCTTGCCTGACTTGTTCATTCCTCTGTCCCTGGGTCCTGGAATGAAAGCTGGCTTATATTAGACACTTTGTAAGTCCTTGTTTAATAAACAAGCAATGACCTTGCAGGTCAGTGTAACTTACTCTTTGTGTACGTTATCAAGTAGCTTTCTAGAGACAGGAAAAATGTTTGGCATTTTTTTTTAACCAATTCAGTATAGCCATATATGAAATATAGGAAGGTTGGATAATGATAAGTGACACTGAGATTACCCCCTGAGCTATCCTATATATGATAGCCATTGGCTACATGTGACTATTTAATAAAAATTTTAAAACTTAATTGTCTCAGTAACACTAGCCATGTTTCAGGAGTTCAGTGATCACCAACGATCCTAAGTGGCTAATGGTGCCCATATTGGCCATCAAAGATGCAGAATGTTTCTGTCCTCATTGCAAGTATTACTGCCCAGTGCTCCTATAAAAACTGAACTAATTTTACTTTCTTACCTTTTTATTATATAGAGATGGCCGCCTCCTGGCTGCTGGAGGCAAATCAGACCATCTTCATGTGTGGTGCTTAGAAGCTACACAGCTGGTCAGAATTATCCAGTTGCCCACTAAAGTCAGAGCCATTCGACAGCTGGAATTTCTTCCTGATAGTTTTGATGCTGGTTCGAATCAGGTTAGTAACACAAATGTAAGGCATGCTTTTGAGAAAGATTACATCAATTTCTGAACTGTATTAGCTCTTACATATTTAAATTATGCCCTGACTGATAAGAATCTGCAGTTGCAACTGCAACTTATTTTTGTAAAGAGTCTGGAATTGAGAAAATGTCAAAATCTTTTGTTTTTTATATTACTGACAGAAATTACCTTAACATTCTTATTTTAAATTGACTGTTATGGGTCTTACACGTCAACAAATTAGATACATGTTTTTTGAGGTATGATCAAAAATTACAGTAAATTTTAAAAAACATTTTTAATTTATTACAGTAAAAGACACATTGCCATTTAATCCCCCTTTAAATGTGTTTTTACTGCAATAAATGTTTTTTTCACTATGTTTTTCAGTCACTTATATGTATACGTACAAAATGTGCTTTGATGTATTATATCTGTTTTACTTGTTTTTGAATAGGCTCTGCATTTTCTTGGTTAAAAATCTAAAACTTAACAAGAAGGCATGCAGTGGTAAATCTCCCACACCTCTCTCTCATTTGTCTGATTATTCATACCTCCTGCCTCATAACTACTGTTTTTATATATAGGGTTATGTTTCCCTTCATTTTTATGCAGCTTTGCACCTTTTTCACTCTTTTGTTTTGTTTTTTTGGTACCGGGGATGGAACTATGGACCTTGCGCTTGCGAGGCAGGCGGCAGAACCACTGAGCTAAATCCCGGCCCAGCCTTTTTCACTCTTAATGTGGAGATTATTCTATATCGGTATAGAACTCCTATTTATAGCCGAGTGATGTTTCAGAATTTTTTGTTTTCAGCCAGTCCTCTATTATTCAGCATTTAAACCTACTTTTAGTCTTTTTATGTTACAGTTAGCTCAGCACTGAATAACCTTTTGCAGGTACCATTTTACACTTCTTTGTAGAATAAAATCCCAGAGTAGACATAGAAACATAAAGGTTCTTTGCATCTGAATTTGAGTGAGATCTGGCCAAGGGGTCATATCAACTGCACGAGGGGATTTGTTCCTACCGGGTGGGGTTGCAGAAGAAAATGGATTCTAGATTGTCGCCTCCAAACTGCCTTTTTGTGTAACAAGCAACGTTGGCATTCACGCAATCAGATGGTGGTTGTCTTAGTTACTTTTCTTGTTTCTGAGACAAAATACCCAGAGTTAAAGGAGGAAACATTTATTTTGGCTCCGAGTTTGTAGAGGTTTTGGTCCATAACCACTGGCTCCAAGGCAGAGGGACATCACAGAGGAGAGACAGTTCATGGCAGGCAGAAGGCAGCAAGCGACAAGGGACCGAGACCCTTTTTCTGTCCCTTGTATCTTACTCAGGTTGCCCACCCTTAGGGCGGACAGCACTCGCACCCAGGGTGGGGCACCCTTAATCCTGCCCAAAACTGTGCCAAGCCAGTCAGTGCACTGATTCAGGAATCTCACACTCTTGACCACACACTCCGGATCCAGTCACCTCCGAAAAGTGCCACCTATGACTGCATGAGGCTGAGGGGACATCTAGACACAGCCATAACGGTGGCACTGCATACAGCCACTAGGAAGAGGTTTATTTTCTTCAACTTTTTTATTACATCCTACTAATTTTTCAAATAATAAGAATTAAAATTTAAGGTTTTTTCTCTTAAAAGACTAGCTTCGCTCCTACCCCTTTTCCACCTTGGCGGCCCACAATCTTTCTCTACTCTGCAAATGTTAGTTATAATAGCAGAAGACAGGCAGGCAGTGGGGTGCCTCACCAGAAGTCACAGGTTTGTGTGGGTAGCAGGGAGAGGAAAGCAAACCTTACACCCTCCTTACTTTTGACAGTCAGTGTGGAGGAAAAGTTAGGAACTGTCTGATTATCTGTGTCTCCTGTACCACATCCGTGAATTTGGCCCTCCTAGGAAGGGAAATGTTATGTTCTTAGGTCACTTTTCTGTAGTTCCCCAGGATATGTTCCTTTCTGGTTCTGGTTAGAGCCAGCCTTATCTGGGTCTGAACAGGGCAAATCAATATGAGCCATACTTAGTTACTTTAAAATTTATAATAGCTCATGGAGAATACAATCTCTTCTAGCTGCTTTCCCCAGATTTTATGTATGTCACACACACTCATAGTATATATGTGCATAGTTTGACTTTCACACGTTGACCTTTCAGGTGTCTTTAAGAATTCATTTCTCAGGCCGGGGATTTAGCTCGGTGGTTTCGCTGACTGCTGCGTAAGCACAAGGACCCAAGTTTGATCCCCAGTACCAAAAAAAAAGAATTCATTTCTCTCTACTCTCAGGTTCTTAGCGTGCTAAGTCAAGATGGTATTATGAGATTTGTCAACATACAGACTTGTAAACTTCTCTTTGAAATTGGGAGCCTTGATGAAGGAATCAGCTCATCAGTAATTAGCCCACATGGACGCTACATTGCATCTATTATGGAAAATGGAAGCCTGAACATATACTCAGTTCAAGCTTTAACACACGAAATAAATAAGGTATGTTATGAAGGAAACAACATCAGTTTTTTAAAACTTTGAATATTGTATCAGGAATAAAATATTTATGCTCTTATTTGCTAACTTCCTTGGAACTTACCTATTTTTTCTGGATTTATTTTGTTTTTCTTACTCCCAAAGCCATATTTCCCTCTGTGTTTTATTTCTTACATTGCTGCCTTCCTGAAGGACATCTCTGTTTGCCATCCCTGTCTTATTCAAGGTGTCACTCATGGTCTTTTTCCCCTAAGAGCTCTTCAAACCCATTTCTTCATTTCTAGCCATTCTTATTCCTTTACTTCCTAAAGTTAGTCAATTTTAAGTTGTATGACTTTTTAAATGGGAAATACCTATATATATGCTGCGTGTTCTCTCTCTCCGTAATGGCCATCCTCCTGTTGGTCCCCGTGAACTGAGTACTCCTCAGTAACAATAGTGTATTCACACCATCTTCTACATTGCATTTTTCTAAAATAATGCTTTCAGCCGGGTGTGGGGGCACATGCCTGGAGTCACAGCTGCTTGAGAGGTAGAGGTTGGAGGAACACTTAACTCACAAGTTGGAGACCTGTCTGAGCAACCTAGTGAGACTCTGTCTCATAAAAACAAAGAAAAAAAAATACTGTGCTGTAATGTCTCAGTTCATGAACACTTCTGTTTGTAAACCAAATTGGTGAGGTGTTTGGCAAAATTTTGCTTCCATTCGAGAATTCTGCATCAGGTGATGAACACACCCATGACCATCTTACCACACAAATACAAGCATGGCCATCTTCCCCAGAATTGTGGGACAAATTAAGCTCATGAACTGAGTTACCACTATAAAAGTAAAAGAATGCTTTCATCAAGGCTTCCTTCCTTTTGCCTGTTGTATTAAGTCCAGACTCTTGTAGTTGGCTCTCACGTCGTCTCTTCACCTGTCTACTGATCACATTATTTATTCCATCTAAAATAGCCCCTCCACCCACCTTCTGTGATTGCCTGAAGTTGCCCTAGCTGACAAGTTAGATTGTGTGCCCCTTGCCAGTCTGGGACTGTACCACGGTGGCACTAACAAGGACTTGGATGAGCGTCTGCTCTAACCCTTTGGTTTTGCAGAGGAAGAAGTTCATGTACCAGCCTACTCACACAGGTAGCGCTGGTGGGAGTGGGTGTGATTCTTAATTCTGTGCTCTTTTTTCATGTGTTTTTTTTTCCTTTTTGCTCTTTATCTTTTTATAGACATAAATAGTGTTTCATTGCAGAAAAAAAATCAATGATTTTGATACATACATTCCTAATCTTTTTTGTATGTGTGTAAATCTATGCATTCACTTATTCATGGATTCTGTATTTGAGAATTTACCTACTCACTAAAATTTGTGGCCCTGAAATCAATGTTGTGTACTGCAAACTTGTACTAATAAAAATAAATAAATAAATGTTTGCAGTGCTTTCACTGTTGTCCATGGACATGGAGTGAAAATTGAGTCGCTCTGCCCCTATTGCAAGCTGAAGTTGAACAAGGCAGCATTTTGCTTGTCTTAGCTCTCATACTATAACTTAGTATCATTTTCAGTGCCATGTTTTTTGCATTTTTAGGCTTTCTGTTGTGATTTTACTGTTTAAAATGACCCCTGAGCAGCCAGGTGTGGTGGCGCACACCTGTAGTCCCAGCACTGAGGAGGCTGAGACAGGAGGATCACTGTGAGTTCCAGGACAGCCTGAGCTGCATAGTGAGTTCAAGGCCAGCCTGCACTACAAAGTGAGACCTTGTCTCAAAACATAAATAAATAAATGAAATGAACTCTGAGCATAGTGTTGAAATGCCTTGTGTTCCTAAGCACAAGAAGGCTGAGTTCTACCCACCTTACACTGAAAATACACTTTTTGTTTTTTGTGGTTTTTTGGTACTGGGGATTGAACTCAGGTCCTTAGCTTGCGAGGCAGGCAGTGGAACCACTGAGCTAAATCCCCGGCCCGAAAATACACTTTTGAAAAACTCATTTAGGCATGAGTTTTACTGCAGTTGGCTTTCAGTTCAGTGATAACAAATCACCAATTTATATAAGAAAGATGTCCTCATACAGAAACACATATAAAACAAAGTTATGTATTAATCACTTGGTGAAAATGTTGTGATCAGAGACTCAAGAAAGTAACTATTTCCCCTAGAATGAATGATTCGGTGTTCACTTACTTATTCAGTGGTTAAGGTAATTCTGTAGAGCAACTGTGAATAACAAAAATCAACTAGCTATATATACATTTGTATATAAATATGTGGCTCTTTATATGCATGCATTCTCTCAAATGGGATTATAATCTATTTTTATTTCTATTGTATATTTATATGTAATTATATATGGTTTAATATTTGTGATATATTTTGAAAAGTCATTAATATACTGTTACCTGCTCTTATAAGAGAGATGTAGCTTCTTCAGTTGATTTTACTAGCTAAACCTTCTTAAAAGAGGCTGGGACAGCCAGGGATTTAGCTTAGTGGTTCTGCCGCTTGCCTTGCAAGTGCAAGGAGCTCAGTTCGATCCCCGGTTCCAAAAAAAAAAAAAAAAAAAGAGGCTGGGACAGATCTGAAAAACCCATGGTAACAGTGAGTCATGGAGTCCCTCTGTGCTGTTATTGTTGAGTAAACTGAGATCTCATTGAAAGGAAAAGCTAGTTTAGGAGTAGAATAATCTTGGCTGAGAATGTAGCTCCATGGCAGAGTGCTTGCGAGCAAGCAGGAGCCCCTGGATTCCCTCCCCAGTACCAGTAGACCCATAATAATGAGGGTTTGGGTTCTAAGTTGTGCTGTCTCCTGCCTCATAAGCAGTTGATGTAGTGAGAAACCAACGGCCATTGCCATCCCTTGCGGACGACAACCTTTAACCACAGGCAGCAGGGGTCCCGTGCTTCCAAAGGAAAATCATTGGCCACTTCCTCCTCCTCCAGAAATCTCTCTTGGGCACAAAAATGTTAGGGTGCTTCTTTTGGCATTCTCGAGGGTCATATGCTTAAGGTTGTCTTCTCTCCCCTACATTATCACCGTTGTGCTAACTTATATCATGCAAGTGTAAAAATGGTTTGCTGTTACATGACTTAAGGCCAGCTTTCAAGAAGTGACTAAATTCTACTTACTGCTGTTGTTAAATCAAGTATTTTTGTTTTTCAAAGTAATTCACATATATATTTCCCTTTTAGCCTCCTCCTCCTTTAGTGAAAGTAATTGAAGATTTGCCTAACAATAAACTGAGTTCCAGTGATCTTAAGATGAAAATAACATCAGGAAGAGTGCAGCAGCCAGCAAAATCTAGAGAGGGCAAAATTCAGACTCGAATATTAAAACAAGACCTAGCTGGTAATTTTGAAAATAAAGAGGTGAGAAAATATTCTGATTAAACTTTTGTGTGTCACACATTCTGGCATAGACCAGTCTTGTGATTTCTAGGGTATTAGCACTCTTTCTCCTCTTGAGACTTAAAGGAATACTGTATGAAGAGAAGAAAGTATAATTGGAATTACTATATGCTTTTGCGCTTTTAACATAAATATAGCACGTTTATGGTTTTTCAAAAGGCCAGACAGTACACAATTGCCTGTCCAGTGTGCCACCCACTAGCATGTGGCTGATGAGTACTTGAGGTGTGGCTAGTCTGAATTGAGATATGTTGTAAGTGTACTACACATGGTAAGAAACTCTAAAAACTTAGGATGAGCAAAAAAATGAAAAATCTATTGATGATTTTATATTGATTGTATGTTGAAATGATATTTTGACTATATTGGGTTAAATTGTGTTACTAAACTGAATTCTACTTTTTTCTCTTTTCTAATGTGGTTCCTAGAAATTTTTTTTTTTTTTGGTACCAGGGATCAAACTCGGGACCTTGCGCTTGCGAGGCAGGCAGCGGAACCACTGAGCTAACTCCCTCATCCTAGAAATTTTAAAATTATATTTGTGGCTTGTGTTTCTGTTGGACAGTGCTGGTATACAAGGATATAAAGGGAAAAAAATAGAAACATGCCTTTCTTTCTCCCTGTTTCCTATTTCCATTCATTTTTCCCTGGAGGTAACCAATGTACTAATAGTAGAATTATCTTTGAGAGAAGGGATATCATTGAGGTTTTTTTTAATTTAAAAAAGATTTTCGTAGTTTTCTGAAAAACATATATTACTTTTGAATACAAAGAAAATATTAATAGAAAAGTTACTAATGTTTTTAAGGAATTTTTAAGCTTTTTATTAACAGTACCCTCTCGGAAAGAACATGTAAGTGTACAGTGAATTTTCACAAACTGAACCTACCTATTTTACCAGCACTTATATCAAAAAAATAAAACATTCTGCCGCTTGCCTCACAAGCTCAAGGTCCTAAGTTTGATCTCCAGTATCAAAAAAAAAAAACATAGAACATTACCAGTTCAGAGGCAGTCAGATGACAGACAGCCTGTGGCCTCAATCAGGTTATACAAGCCAAGAATAGTTGTTACATTTTAAAATGGTTATTTAAATATCTGTGCAGCCGCCTGCCCGGCAAGCAGAAGGACCCGAGTTCGATCCCCAGTACCTAAATAAATAAATAAATATGCAGTAGCTTTTTCTCCTTTGTTCACAAAACCTGAAATATTTCCTAATTAACTGCTCATAGAAAACTTTGCCAAAGTCTGATCTAGGAAAAATAATAATGTAATGAACTTTAGTTGCTTTCTATATAGTTATTGTTTAAGGAAAGAGAAAGTGTGTGGTATGAAGTCCGGTAGAAGGCATATTTCTTACTGTGTCTTCTGTTCTAAAGTTGGAAAGCCGTTTTGGACCAGCTTACCCTGTTTTGAGTTTCATGATCATGTAGTTACCGATACTGTCTTTTTACAGAATGAGTTGTCAGATGGATTAAACAAAAAGCGCTTACAAATCTTATTAAAAGGCTATGGTGAATATCCAATGAAGTACAGGTAAAATTTGAATTCTTTTATGTTATATCTATTTTACTCAAATAACTTTTTGGTTTTTTTATTTTTTTGGTACCCGGGATCGAACTCAGGACCTTGCGTTTGCGAGGCAGGCGGCAGAACCACTGAGCTAAATACCCGGACCTCAAATAACTTTTTAATCCAAAATTATATTTTAATTTCAGGATGTTTATTTGGCGCTCTCTGCTACAACTGCCTGAAAATCATACTGCATTTAGTAGCCTAATAGATAAAGGTACTCATGTGGCATTTCTCAACCTTCAGAAGAAATATCCCATTAAAAGTAGGAAACTACTCAGAGTATTGCAGAGGTATGTTCAGTATATTGCAACAATGTATATGAAATCTATAATAATTGCAATCCTTTGTTTATAAAATACTATTTGGTCAGCTTTGATTATCCCTAAGTGGTATGTTGATTTGTTTTAAAAAAACAAGACAGATATACACATGTATGTATGTATATCACATAGAAATGTTAGTTTGTGTTGTATTCTGGAAAATAACAATCTTTCAGGTAATCTAAAGGAATAAAGTAGCAAAGTAGAAAGAGCTTTGAATTTGGAGGTAAAAGATTTAGTTTTGAATCCTTGTTTCACCATCTAATAACTACGGTATAGCAATGTCATTTTACTTCTTTGTCTTAATTTCTTTATTTGAAAATGGGGCTAATATCACCATCATAAGATTGTTGGGATAATTAGGTGAGAATCTCTTAGAATGCTTATTCTACTGTCCAATTCATAATAAGCATTCAGTAAATATTAATAATCAAAACTAATGCTTTAAAGTACTTTTTGTGTGTTAGGCACTTCTAAATATACTTTTAAATTATCTTTTAGGTAAAGAGACTAAGCCATAGATAGGTCAGGTCCTGTGACCCAGTCACTCAGGTGTAGAGGTATAATTGCACAGGCTCCAGAGTCCAATTTGTAAAAATTACTTTTACCATGATAAATTACAATCATAAGTAAAAGTAGAATACCATAAGGTATATCCTCATGCCCATCACCTACCTTCAGCAGTTGCCAATTCATGGCCAATTTTGTCACCCCACACTTCCCACTTCCCCCCGCCCTGCTGCGTCTCAACCTTTCCCCTGACAAATGCACTGTCTTAGTTACTTTTCTCATTGCTGAGACAAAATACCTGACACCCAGAGTTAAAGGAGGAAAGGTTAATTTGGCTCTCAGTTCATAAAGGTTTCAGTCCATAGTTAGCTGGCTGCAATGCAGAGTACCATGGCAGAGAGGCGTTACAGAGGAGAAACAGTCCATGGCAAAGCAGGGCAGACAGAAGGCAGCAAGTAGGAAGTCCATGCAACTGTAGCAGCTTCTTACTGCCCCTTTTATATTCTATGTAAGCTACTGGGCTTAGGGCGGGTGCCAAACCAATCAGTGGACTGAGTAATCACACACCCTCAATCCCAGCGTCACACACTCTGGATCCAACCATCTCTGAAAAAGCCCCCCCATGCTGTGTAAGGCTTTGGGGGGAACATCTAGACACAAGCATAACACACCCTGCTAAATATTTACATATGTAATCCTAAAAGAGAGACTTCTGTTTTTTAACACAAGCACAATACCATTAACTCAAAAAGAATTAAGAATAATTTTTTAATATCCTTAAATGTCCATTCAGTGTTGCCATTACTAATTTTTGACTTAGGAAATTTTTTATGGTAAGCTTGTTCAAAATATGGTTCACATGTTACATTTGGTTGGTATCCCCTTAAGTCTTATAGAGCCTCATTTATCTGTTTTGTTACTTCCTGTGCTATCAGTTCAGGGTATTCAGGTGGTTGGTTATGGGACTTTTCCATCTCATTTCCCCCAGGATTTACCCTTGGTGGGGTGGAAGTCTGAGTTTGTGCCTTGCTTAAATGTCTTCTCATTTTTGTTTTTGGTACTGTCCTTGGTTTAACTCCTGGGTTGATAGTTTGAAATTGCTTATTGTGGGTATCTTTGTTGCTTGTAATTAGAACCCTTATGGAATGATTGCTTCTCAGAGGTGTCTTCCAGATTTAGCTGGTCTTTAAGTTTTGAGTCTCTAATGACTCTAAGGCTATCTCATTTTCCTTATACTAGGAAGGTTCATTGACTAGATCAATACCAACACCTTAGCCCAAGTGATACAATCAGCAACACCACTGCATCAAGTACATCTTTGAAAATGACATTTTGTGGTAGTTATTAATCTGTCACCTTTAGCTGTGTGAATTAAATCAAGATCGAGGACCAACCCAACATAACATATAGTGAATAAACTCTTCAATATAACAACTTTACCCTATGGGATGGGGAGTTAGAAGGGGTTGAGGAGGGAGGGATAGATGGAAAGAAGGATAGGGGAAGGTTAGCAGTGTGGTCAGAGGACACAGGTGAGAAGGAAAAAGAGAATAATAGGAAAATAAAGAAGAACTCGGAATGAGGACCAAAACAGGGACAAAAAGGGAAG